TTGTGGTGATTCTTGTAGCGATGTGTGATGGGTTCCGCGAACAGACCGACACAAAATAAAAGAAACGAATTAAATAAAATAAAATCCGGTTCCCTTTTATTATCGCCAGAAAGAATCGAAGCAGGTTCTTTATGGATCCCAACTTCTCGAGTACAAACACTCGTACAGGCTTGCCGTCTATTACAACAAAGATATCACGTGCTATACGTGACCCGACAATCAAGCGCGTGTAGATCTAAAACTAGAACTTAACCTACTTATAACTATCGAAAGAAAGATTAGATAGGAGAGAAGATAGAACAAGACAGAAATACCCGGGTTTCCTTTCCTAACGTACGTATAATACTGGGGTGAGATACCACTCTTTGTTTTCGTCGTGACTCCTTTGGTCGTCAGCGTCCTTTCTTTTCCTTGCACCACGTGTCCCTTCTTGACTCTCCGTAACACACTCACTTCACGCACTCTCACGCTGCTCGAGGACGATCCTTTCTACCACCTTGCCTTCTCTCGTCCTGGTACAAGAATGAGTTCCCTTTCCTTCCTGCAAGACCCCCTGGGTCTTCCTCCTATTGTTCACCGGGCTTTTCTTCGAAATGGTAATCCCACCCCAAGGGTAAGCGGATTAGAAGGGAAAATTTAGAAAATAATCAAGATAAAGAACAAAAGAGTTTCTAAGACTAACTTATATTACATAGAAAACTATAAATTATATGGCCGATGGCCACAACAGTAAACACAATTTTTATTAAAAAAAAATTTAGGCTTAACATCGATGAAAATTCAACATGGCGTCACAGGCAACAAATAAACATTTCAACATCAAATAGGTTAAAGGCTAAAGTCTTAAAGCAACAACAACGACACATGGATGATATGGATGATAGGAAAGCTAGGGCAAGGAAAAAGAAGAAAAAAAGAGAGAGGGGAAAAAAATCACACTATCAGTTTTCATTAAAGTAAACATGATGAAAAGTGCAAAAGAAACTGAAAATGTCAATATTCTAACATCTGTGAGCAAATTTAATGCTTACTTGAAGAAAAAAATATTGAATAATGGAGTTTTTACTTAAAAATTGTAAAATTTTGTACTGAGGATTTTCCAAATTCTAGAACCATGTTGTATGGGTGATATTCCTAATTTTCAAACTGTGATGTAGAAGTGCTGTGTTGTACATACAAGGGTTGTAGAAGTGCCGTGTTATATATACAGTAATACCCCGAACTTACGCGATAGGTGGGACCGAGCGGTAACCGCGTAAGTCGAATTCGCGTAAGTCGGGGTATTAATGTATATATATATACATACATACACAATACGGTATATGTACAATTTAATTCTATTCTAGTGAATTCTGCAAAGTGTAGTTCATGAAACAGAAGGATAATGAATGACATCAGATATTTCATGTCAAAAGGCATGCAGTTTTTCAAACTTTTTAAAAATTCATATTAATTTACAATTTTCTGATTTAAATAAAGATGAACAAAATTAACGACAAAAATTTTAAAACCAATTAACCATTAATGAAAAACTGACTTAATATATTGGTATAATTAATCTAACTTTCTAGGAATACCTTACAATTACTATTCACATTTTCAGTTCGAGGGCAGATGTTAATGAAGTAGATATAAATAAACAATTAGTATTACAGTTTTAAAATAAAAACAAAGTGTAAAAATATTTTAATTCTTGAAGTTAGACTATTTACAAAAATATATTAATATTTTCGAGTCTATCATTAAGTCCTTTTACACAAACCACAGAAGACACAGTTACATTGGTTAGAAGATAAAACTTCTTTAAAAGACAAATAATAAAAAGGTAAAAATTCACAATTAACTACCACTAGAGGGATGAACCAGTTATAAAATTTGGAAAAGGACTTGATAATTGGTGAGAAGATTCTTAAGTTTTTAATGTTAAAAACGTCAGATCCTACAATAAAAGGCTGGTGTTTGATCATTTTTAATTGTGAATTTTTACCTTTTTATTATTTGTCTTTTAAAGAAGTTTTATCTTCTAACCAATGTAACTGTGTCTTCTGTGGTTTGTGTAAAAGGACTTAATGATAGACTCGAAAATATTATATTTTTGTAAATAGTCTAACTTCAAGAATTAAAATATTGAAGAATGTCCTGAGTTAACATTGAATATTGTGAAAGTGTAAAAAATTGTAACTGTAATTTTTTTATTACATTTTCATATCTATTTAATATTCTAAAGTTAATGTTTTTCCAGAAAATATTATGCAATTAAATATTTTTACTAAAAAAATTCATACCTTAATGCTTTTACATATTCAGCTACTTGATCAGCAGATGTCATCCATTCAACATAATCAACAATCTTTCTGAAATTAAAAAATCATAAAAACATTGTTATGCTATCAAACAAATTATTATCTGTACATTTAAATTAAAATGAAAGAAACACTTTGGTTTCATCCATTTCCCAATCATCAAATTTATCAAATAAAGACTTTATGTAATTGTAAAATTTTATGAGTGTTTTGTGAAATAAATTCAATGTTTTCCCCTTTTTGACTTAGATTACTTTTATAGTTACCAGCAAATATCTGTAACTTAATTTTAACAATATATTATATTACTAAAATTAAATTACACAGATATTTTGTATTTTTCTACACATTAACAGATTAAATTTTTTTCATAAATGTTGAACAATATTTAATGCATATTGAACAATGTTTATAAAAATCTTTCTTATAACCAACCATAATCAAATGTTTTATAATTATAATACTGTAATACAGTTTAATTACAATGACTATATTGATAAACTTTATTATGAAAATTAATTATAATACAAAATAGCAAATCTCATTAAACAATACTATTTAGTTACAAGGATAATTATTGTAATCAAACAATATTCTACTTTTTCATTTCTGACTCTTTTTGCTCGGTGAGCAATAAGAAACTTTTTCAGACACATCATGAATTTTACCAGACCTACAGCAGATGCTGAGTGATGAGGGATGGAGACAGTTGTATCTATAACAATTTCCTGAAAAATTCCTAGGATTGTTTGCCTAGGCTTATTCCCAAGTTGCCAATGTGATAGGTTAATGCCATAGCCTGCAATTGGTTGCACCATTAGAAAAAAAAAATTTAACATTCTTGAATTTCATTTTATATATTTACTACTTTTGAAGATATTTAGGTGATGTGCTAGCAATGCTTCTCACTATGTCTCTCTATTTGTCATTTATAGCTGAATGAAGTGCTTGTAATTGATATGAGCCTGCTGATTGCAATTTTAACCTAATTAGTGTGCATTGTTAGATTTGATTTTTAACAATGCAACCTCCTGAAACACACAGCACATCACCAAAGTCAGAAGAAAAATCTAGATGTGTTTAGTATCCTAAAAGGAAGAATAGATTTACAAAAAAATCAATGTAAATGTTGTTCAAATCCAATATGTAAGGAACACTACAACACTGTTTTTGTTTGCCAAAATTGCAATTCAGAAGCTCAATCTGATTCAGATGAGTAAAAATAGAAATTTACGAGTGTAAACATTTTGTAACCTTATTGTATGTTATTGTAAGGTTTAATAAATTATTTTTTTCAAACATTGTTACCATTCAGTGCCTGATGTAATAGTGCTCTGTATGTAATAATAGACATGTTGTTTCCAGTTTATATATTATCATCATAAGCAGGGAAAGACTTGTCATAACCATGGTAAAATCAAAGTTAAAATAATGTTCACAAATAGAAATTTTGTTTGAAAATAATTACTATTCCTACTCTGTAATTTCTAAACCATTAAAGAAATGCCACCATGTGGTTAATGTTTTTTCCTAACATTACAGAAAATGATACAAATGATCCTGCACATTCAAGGATTCCCGGTAGTTAAGTATGTCTTTGTAAATATCATGTTTATAGAAAACTTATTAGAATTGGTTTGGTTTATTTCGTTATGGCAATGTGATATGTGGGTGATCTGCCAAGGAGGATGAATTCTGGGAAGACTTTAATGTAAAACTGGTCCCTATTTAGATGTTACTAATGTGAAGAAACCCAGAAAAATCCATGTGACCAGTCCATTGGCAATATGCAAACCCACAACAGACTAATAGTGTTTGGTGGTTTTATCCATTCGATTACTGGAGGGTACTTACTTATAGGGTTGCAATTTGAAAAAATTGTAGACCTATAAATTCCCACTGTCGTCTGTCTGTCATTCTTAAGAACAGAGTTAGACAGATGAAAGTCGAAACCAGATATGGAAAGCTTAAGAGCAGGAGGTCCAGATTACTATACACAAATTTCTAGTTTGAACCAGAAATCACATTAACTCAATTCAAAAATTTTCTCCTGAACAGAATTAAATACATAACCAACATAAATCTATTTCTGACAGGAAAAGTATGATATACAAGGACAAAACACTATGCAAGGCAAGTGCTACATGTTGTCTGTCACAGTAATGGTGCAATGACAAAATAGCATGTACATTTCACTCTATATCATTGTCACATTAATTAAGTGAATATAATATACAGGTATACCTTGAGTTACGTCATTTCGAGTTACATTATTCTCAATTATACGTTGTTTGTCAAAAAATATATGGAAAAATAAAAATCAAGTTTAAGTCATTTTATTCGACTTTAAGTCCGTCCGCCACAAATATTGAAATCATAACATCACTAGAAAAGCGTTAAAGTGCATAAAATCATATTAAAATATGTACATTTACAATAAATATTAATATAATCATCATAAATCCTAGAGAACGAAACATGAAAACATCTGTGTTTCTGTGTTGTTGTCTTATTTAGTGGTCTTTAAGTGCTCAATATTGGTGTTTTCCATGGTAGCTCCAATATCTACCATTTGGCGTTGTTGTCAGCGCCACTCGATATTGGTAAATTTAATATAAATTAGTTTATTTTCTACTGTCGCAAGATAATTTTAATAACTGTATTTTTTATTTAACCTTACAAAATTATCTTACTTTATAATGTCTTAGAGCAAACCACATTCACAATGTAGAGTCTGCGATGTACTGTAAACATCACCAAATTATTATTATTATTATTATTATTATAACATATTATTAAAAATTCATTTATAAATAAAATACAAAACTGGGAATGGTTATTTGTGGTTTATCCTAGTGACAAGTAAATTTGAAGACAAGTAAATTCGACTTACATCATTTTTCGACTTAAGGCCTCTCCTGGAAGCAATTATTGACGTAAGGCGAGGTATATCTGTATATATATTTTTAAGAATTATATTTAAGTATTTTATTTTCCTAAATTTTTTGCCAATAGATGGTGCTACATGTAAAACCAGCAAATCCAATGTTGACAGAAATGAATTAATATGTAGAAATATAATCAATAATTTGGAGTGGGATATATGACATTATCTAAGTTAGAAGTATGTGAACATAACTGCCACGTTTTGTAGCAATTAGTCAAACAGGCTAGGCATGCATAGCAAACAAACATCCTCATTTATATACAGGTTGCTGTTAATGTAAAAAGAATTGGCAGAGTAAAAAGTATTATACTAATTAATTTTAAAAGTGATACTATAAGATATAAATGCAGTGGAAGAATAACAAAAATATTCATATATGTAACAATAATAATAAGCACACTCAAATGCAGTTTTTAACATTCTTTAAACCTATATTTTCTTTTTTTGTACTCATTAAAAGTAAAGGAAAAAAAAACATACTTCTCTTAGCTTGACTAATCAAACAAAAACATTTAAAACACATTTTCATTTGATAATTAAAATTCCTAATACTGTTATTTTACCTGTTTATTTTATCACCAAATGTTGCATTCATAATTTGACGTAAAAGAATAACAATCCTTCTTCTAAACCATTGATCTTTGCTTTTTAAATCAAATACTTCATCCATTAACAACAACATTATTCGTAATGGAATATTATCTTCTCCCTGTGAAGAAAACAAAATTGCTAATATTTATTAATTAAAAAGAAATAAATAAATAAGTTTTTAATTATTTCAGACTCACTTCAATATCTATACCAGCAGCCACTTTTCCACTTCCAACAAGTCCAGGATTAAGTGATGGATTCCATTTACTTCCCAATACTTTGACTAGTCCATCTCTAAGACCATCAATAAGTGTATCTGGCATTGTTTTAACAATATTACCCACCGATTTAACGGAAGATTTTAATGGATTAACTAAAGTGCCAACCTGAAATGCATTTTTATTTCTAAGAATTATTTTTTTACAAAAATAAAAATAAACATTAAATTCTTACAGTTCTTGAAAGCGGACGTCTTCCTCTTTCATATATCTTTGGTTCCAAAAAATTTAAAATCATTGCACATAAACCCTGATTAGCATTGAGCATTTCTGATGAGCATATAATTTGAAGGTATTCATTAAGCTGTTCAGCACGCTTTTCTAAAAACTGACGAGCAAGATTATTGAATGTCTTTTTCCCAGGAAATTTAAGACTAGATAGATGAGGAAACTAGAAAAATAATTTTTCATTAAATATAAATGATTTAAAATCCAAAAATAAACATTTTGTTTTATTATAAACAGTAAAATTATTACTAATATACCTTTTCTATCACAGACATATGGAAGTCATGGAAATCACTATATCTTCGTACTAAATACCACCTTTCTTCTGATTTATTACTATCTCTTTTTGTTACACAAATGGCATATACAGCATAAGTTCGACCAGAATGATTTGTTATTCCTACAAAAATCCATAATTACAAAAATATTTAAAAAGTAAGAAATCATAGTAGTTAAAATTCTTTCAGTACTAAGAATGAGTTAATTATTAATATTTTAATCATAATCTTACTTATTTACAGATAACAGATTTTGTAAAATTAATTTAATAAATTAAGACAGTCAATTTTCTCAGAGATTCTTCTTGATTAGTACTAAACTGAATAAATTTTTTCATCTGCATTGTTTGTTAAATGAAATGACATTTGTGATTATAATTTAGATATCCTAAATGTTATATTAATTTTTCTTTTTAAAAATATGTCAATCTAAATAATAAAATTATAATCCATCCTTGAATCATTCTAAAGAAACTAACATTATGAATTTAAATATAAAATATATGCAGGAAATCATTTGCATAATATATTAACTTCTCTGTTGGAACAAAGTGAACACATTGTAAGGAGTCAAGTCCAAATGCCATTTTTGTTTCTGGGATTTTGTTTTAGTCATGGTTATAATTTAGTTTAATAATGTTTTACTTTATTTGTTTAACCCTTCTCCTCCCAACTGGCTCTACAAGTTTTAGTGTTTCAGTTATATCAATTATGTTGGTAAAGTTTTTTAATAGAAGAGTACCTTTCACAAAAATGAATTCCATCAAATCAACCAATAAACATTAAAAAAAATATTATGTGCAAGTTTTCAATTAAAAATTCAATGAATTAAGACCCAAGTTAATAAAATAAAAACCTTTCATAACAATACATTAATGTGAGGACCCAAATGAGGTCCGAAATCATGTAAATTGTGGTGTTCTTATGTTTAAATAATAATGATAGATTAAATATGAGAGGGGGGAGGAAAATCCCATAATTTAAACAATGCGGCACAAAATGTAGACAACGAGTCTCAAGAACAATCGACAGAATGGCGTCGAGCAGACACCTGGAATCGGACCTTTCCCATGACACGAGTTGGTCTCGGTTTTCCCCATAACAAAAGAGACCAATTGGGAAGCAAGGAAGGAGACGAGGAGCCAATCAGAAGTACGAATAATGGGAGAAAAAACTATAAAAATCCGAAATTCTAGGTCGGAGGAGGCTCTCCTCTGTAGTCCATGAAAGGTTGTGATTTAAATTGTGGTGTGTCGTTGCCAAGAACTTTGGACTCCACCGCTTCCTCTTTCTGATCATCCGCCTTGCTCAGCGACTTCATCTCATCTGCCCCGGGGCCAGACAGATGCCGAAGTCCTCGCCTCTCCGCATCTTCGACAAGAAGAACCCTAGTGAAGGAGTGATTGTCGATGTAAGAATAAATGTTAACAAATAAACGGCTTTCTTCCGTAAAACACTTGTCATCATTTGCCTCCTCCGTCACAGCCCACATACAACCTTCTCTTAGGTTCATCCTGACGCGGGATTAATAGATCCCACCTAGGAGATGGCAACCTTACACAGGTGCCGTGAAGTGGGTTTCAAGTCCCCTATCTCCACCAGGTCGGCTACCTTACATTAATTCATTGTTCATTGAGTAGAAGTTAACATGGCATTACCAAAGTAAGTCTCAATTTATTTCCTCCAGACTATTTCTTGGTTCTCAAAATGAAATTGATACTTAAAGAAAAATAATTTGAAGATACAAAAGACATTAAAAAAATAATTTGATAAAATTTAAACAGGTTTTTTAAAAAATATTTCCAATAACACTGAACAAATATAAATAAAAGTAGGCTGTTTTTTTTCTCAACTTCCAATGGTCCATAGAACAAAACCAGGTGTAAATAACAAAATGAATTTATTATCAAAAGTTAGGTACAGACATGGTTACTTTTCAACATAATCACCATGAAGATTGAGGCATTTTTCATAACCATGGATGAGCTTTGCAATCTCCTCTTCATAGAATGTTGCCGTCAGTAACTTGAGATGGGCCTTAACGTTGTTTTGAAGACTGTCATTAGTCTCTAACCTCTGCCCTCCTAGCCACGTTTTCAGAAAAGAGATGGAAATCACTCGGTGCTAAATCAGGGCTAAACACTGGGTGTTTAAGAAGTTCCAAGTTGGGTGGAAGTCTTCACACCTTTAATGCGTGAAGTTATGACAAATGCCTCAATCTTCATGGTGATTATGTCAAAAAGTAATCATACCTGTACCTAACTTTTGGTAATATATTCATTTTGTTATTTACACTTGTCTTTGTTACACATTGGAGATTGAAAAAAACCACCCTCATATATACATCAAGTCAAGATGATTTTTAAGATTATTATTTTAAATTAAAAAAAAAAGGTAAAAAATAATTTCCTGAAAAATTGAATTATGTATTTCAATTTTTAAAGTCAGGGATGTGTTTTATAAAATTGGAATAAATAAATAAAAATTTTGGTTTCTATTACTATTTGAGAAAACTTTCTTCTGCTTCTACAAAGTTTGATGCTATTTGCTTCATAAATTTACATATAATCATTCCAACATATTAACTTATATAATTTTAAAAATGAAATACCTGTATTATAGATTTCTGCTGATAAAGAACAATCATCTAAACATTCATCAGATGATGAAACAGGTGACACTCTTCCCAAACAATGACTTAAATCTGAAGGTATATAATCTAGTCCATCATCATCTTGGTCCAGAGAATTCAAGCTTAGATTGTCATATGACAAATCATCAGATAACTAAATAAAAATGAATATTTTATTTAGTACAATATGTATAATTTTTCTTTATAAATTGTTAGATTTAATAGCAATTTTTAACATAAAAAATTAATATATCATAGTAAACTTAAGAAATCTAAATAGATCACTATACAAGGTGTGTTCAAAAAGTATTGGACCTTTGGTCGGCAAAAATAAATTTATTGATTTTGATGTACAAAACCCTAATCCCCTTCAAAGTAGTCTCCTTGGTAATGTCTACACTTCTCCCAGCGTTCCTGCCATTGCTGGAAACATTGCTGGAATGCGTCTTTTGGAATGGCCATCAGTCGGTCCGTCGGATTTTGCACAATGTCTTCTCTTGACTAAATTCAGGTTCCTTTTAGCGGCATTTTCAGCTTGGGAAATAGCCAAAAGTCACACAAAGCCACGTGGGGAGAGTATGGAGCGTGACAAACCACAGGAGTGTTATGTTTGGCGATGAAAGCCCGAATCAGATGTGCAGAATGGGCGGATGCGTTATCACGATGGAGCTGCCAAGTTTTGATTGACCACAGATCCGGTCGTTTGCGTCACACAGCATCGGAAAGATGACGAAGGACCTCCTGGTAGTACTCCTTTGCGATGGTTTGGCCTTGTGGTGCGTACTCACGACACACCACCCCACGAGAGTAAAAAAACTGTCATGACCTTTGATATTGCTGCGAACCTGCCGCGCTTTTTTTGGCTCTAGGATCGTCCCCGAAAGCCTGCTGAATCTTGCGAATAATTTACGCTTGGGTATCGCCAAGGTTTTTGGCAAAATTTGATGTAATATCACTGCTCATGTTGTTCAGTAATTTTCCAGCTTAGTGGAATCCGACGAGAGCGCACTACATGACCTCACTCATAGGCCGATTGCCAATGACTGACGCTTCCTGCAGGTGGGAAAAAATTCAGGGCTGTGCATGACTGTCCCCTCCACAACTCCACCGAAGGAGGCCTCTCGCGCATCATTGGTTTACGCGGAAAAAAAAGAGGTCCGATACTTTTTGAACAGACCTTGTATTTAATAGGAAAAATATACAAATAAATATATAGTGAAAGTTTCTTCTCTAACTTCTGTCTCCTCAAGCAGATTGAGGATGGCTCGAGATGTTTGAAATGCAGGTTCATTGAAAATACACCTATATATTCAAGTCAATTATGTATATACAATTTATTTACAAGAAATGTACACAACTTTTTATGACATTACAATGTACTGTACCAAGTAACACACTAATGATCTGGGATGATCTAGAACAATCGAGAATCAGAAGGAATAACTTTCAGGGATCAGATGTCTCTCTGAGAATTTCTGGACCATGGATTGGTTCTGTCTGCACTTTTTCTCTGACTCAGACCTCACCTGTACCTGTACATCCTTTCTGGAGGAGTATAACTTCTCCATCCTCAGTAGGTTTGCCAAGTATCTGGGACCTAGTGCTATCAGCTTCAAGTTTTACCCTCTATAATCCTTCTCTCTGAACCCTCTCCCCAATTTCAATGTGTTTTTAGAGTCAACTTCTGACAATCAGAAAGTTTTTGGTCACTGGAAGAAGCTTACCCTTTACATCCACCTGACCAGAATATGGGTGGTCATCCTTCCATTTGTTTACTTGTTTTGATGTTTTCTATAACTGGAAGTAGTTTATGACTAGATCACACTTGGGTGAAATTTATCAAAACTAAAGGTCTCCCTTGTTTTTCTCTCTGCTCCCAAAATTATACTTTACATATGTACTTATATATTTTTATTCATAGGTTAAAATATAACAATAAATAAAAGTAATGACAAAATCTAACTAATATTACTACAGTGGAACCTCGGTATACGTCTGCTTTAGAATACGTCCAATTCAGAATACATCCTGTTTGGATGAAACAAATTTTGCTCGGTATACGACTTTCGTTCGGTATACGACAAAATTCAATTATATGCGTCATCAATAAACAAGTAGCACTATCGGTGTACTAGACCAGACTAGACGTTCGTGGTGCAACGGTTTATAACTTTGTTTAATTTCTTCTGATTTTAATTCGTAAGTAAAATTTTATTATTTTTATTAATCACGAATCCCAAAAAGGCAAATGAAAAGCGACAGAAAACTAAAAAAATGACTAGAATTACAATGGAACTGATGATAGAGATTGTTGAGAAATACGAAGGTGGCATGAGTGTTCGCAATTTTAACTGTTGTTTACCGTATTCCGAGAACGACGATATGGACAATCGCAAAAAATATAGGCATTACTAAATCTGCTAACGTTGCGAAAGGGGTTAAATCAATTTCTAAACAGAGATTGAAGACATCAGATCATGTCAAGAAATTGCTTTTGCTTTGGATAACTGAAAAACAGTACTGGAGACAGCGTATCGGAAGCAATTATTTGTGAGAAAGCTAAAATGATAAACGCTGATCTCAAGAAAAATCAAGCAGGAACTAGCCAGGAAAGCGAGGTGTTTAAAGCCAGCCATTTTTTTTACACGAGAACGGATTAATAATTTTTACATTACTTCTTATGGGAAAGGTTGGTTTGGTATACGTCCAATTCAGTATAAGTCCAAACATCAGGAATGGATTAAGGTCGTATACTGAGGTTCCATTGTATAAAGAAATTTTAACACCAGAGTAGATAAATTACCCAACTTCACTGCCTGTAACCAGTGTTCTTCTTCTCCAACGCAGAGGACTTTTCAAATGTTTTCAAACCTAATGTGGTTCTTCTTCAGGCACTATGGAATTCCCTATACGAATTTGAATTTCCAGTCTAGAATTAACCATTGCTTTGGAAAATTGTTCTGGAACATTTTCACGTCTGACCGATGGCGTCATTGTAGACTTGCGCATTATTCGTATGTTGTTACTTTAGAGTATTATTGAGGAAGGCTTCCCATGCTGTTGATATCTTCATTTCTTGTTTGAAGTTAATGCAGTGCTTATTCCTGAGGGTGTTAAGGCAAATGTATATGGCTTCTAGCCATCTGAGGTGTTCTGTGCGGAATGTGGTGTGAATAATTCTGGCTAGAGGAAATAGCAGCTCTATTTCTGGGTCGGAGGAGTATACCGCTTAGGCGGTGTTGTTTCTATGATATAGGGTATCTGCTTTGTGTTCCTTGATCCTAGTTACTAAGTTGCATTTAGTGGACCCGATGTAGATTACTTCACTGTTGTCTCTATGATCAATGATGGGCACAGAGTATACTCCCGGAAGTCTGTTGCTGTCTGGAGCGTCTTTTCTGTTCTTAAGCCAATCAAATACTGTGGTGCACCTCCTAAATGCCAAGCGGACATTCTTTTTCTTGGCTATCCAGTTGTATATGGCTTTAAGTGCTGGGTTGTACGTGATTGTTATGTAGTTAACCAGGAAATCATTGGAATGAGTGGTGTTGTTGGATTGTTGTTGGGAGTACCTTGTTGTTTATCTTGCATAAGCTGTTATGATAGCCATGTTGTTTAGCTATTTGCTCAATGTGTCATATTTCAGAAATGAAAGCTGATTGTGACAAGGAATGTGAATATGTTCTTTTGATTAGAGTGTTGAACGCTGCCATCTTATACTGTGGTGGGTCACATGATGTTGCAGATATATACAAAGGTTGAGCAGTTGGTTTATGATACACTTCTGTATTGATGGATGATCCCTCTATTTTGATGTTAATGTCTAAGAAGTGCACTTGGGTAGGGTGGGCTTGGTCTATTTCCACCGTTAATCCATAGGGGTTATCGTTGATGGAGTCGATTAGTGCCAAGATATTTGGGATCTTCTTCCATAGAATAAGGATATCATCGATGTATCTTTTGTATAGAAGAATGTGTGGGAGTTGAGATGGTAAGAATTCTAATTCGAGTTTCCTCATCACAATCTTGCAGAGGTCTCCTGCGACTGGGCTTCCCATTGGTACACTACATTGTTGTTCGTAAGTGATTCCGTTGAATTTGGAGAAGGAGTTGTAGCAGAGCAGGTGTGACATTTCTAGGATGTTATGTTGTAATGTGTTATCTTGGATCATGTGCATGAGCATATCTCTTATGACACAAAATTCCAATGGGAGATTGATGGAAGGGTATAAAGATTTGAAGTCCAAGACAGTTATGAATTTCGGAGGTGTCGATATCTGTTTAAGAATGTTAACTAGGTCTGCCAATCTGGTTATGGTGTGTGGGTATCTAGTATCACACAGATTATTAGTACCAGTTGAGGTACTAATAATCTGTGTGTAGCTCTCTCTAAATTGATAGTTGGTGTTCTGGCCTTGTCCATCACAGGTCTGAGTTCTCTTCCTGGTTTGTGAGTTTTTGCGAAAGCAAACATTCTGGGGTGTCAGGTGTGGCTGTAACAATGTTGGTTGTCCCCAGTCGTTTCACTAGTTTAGAGCTGGCGAAGAGTTTTACCCTGGCTTGTAAAATAAACAAAATAATGCTCAAGATAAACAACAAAATACTCCAACAACACCTCTCATTCCAATGATTCCTTGGTTAACTACATATCAATCACGTACAACCCAGCACTTAAGGCCATATACAACCGGATAGCCAAGAAAAAGAATGTCCGCTTGGCATTTAGGAGGTGCACCACAGTATTTGATTGGCTTAAGAACAGAAAAGACGCTCCAGACAGCAACAGACTTCCGGGAGTATACTCTGTGCCCATCATTGATCATAGAGACAACAGTGAAGTAATCTACATCGGGTCCACTAAATGCAACTTAGTAACTAGGATCAAGGAACACAAAGCAGATACCCTATATCATAGAAACAACACCGCCTAAGCGGTATACTCCTCCGACCCAGAAATAGAGCTGCTATTTCCTCTAGCCAGAATTATTCACACCACATTCCGCACAGAACACCTCAGATGGCTAGAAGCCATATACATTTGCCTTAACACCCTCAGGAATAAGCACTGCATTAACTTCAAACAAGAAATGAAGATATCAACAGCATGGGAAGCCTTCCTCAATAATACTCTAAAGTAACAACATACGAATAATGCGCAAGTCTACAATGACGCCATCGGTCAGACGTGAAAATGTTCCAGAACAATTTTCCAAAGCAATGGTTAATTCTAGACTGGAAATTCAAATTCGTATAGAGAATTCCATAGTGCCTGAAGAAGAACCACATTAGGTTTGAAAACGTTTGCAAAGTCCTCTGCATTGGAGAAGAAGAACACTGGTTACAGGCAGTGAAGTTGGGTAATTTAACTAATATTACTGTTACAATTAAAAATTTTCTAGGTAAGTAACAAGCAAGTGAAACTATTTAGTACAATTTATGTTTATGAATATTTCCAAAGTATTTTAGTATATCATTAGAAGCAAAAGGAGACAAACAATAAGTGAACACCTAGATTTTATTCTTTGTACTTTTGTCATGATTTTGTAATGCTTGTAAATGCTTTTAATATTTGAAGTCTTAGATTATGCTGGGTTGTTTCAATTTCTTAGCATTTAATTTTGAAGTCTCAGATTATTAGATATAGATAGATAGATAACAAAGATATTCCTTTAAAATTATATAGTTTTGAAAGGAAAAAAACTTTCTACTCATAAATTTCTTCATTAAAGAATTAATATTTATTAATAATGAATATTCCATTTTGTACTTATCCAATATGATAATAAAAATCATAACATATTTATTGTGATATCACTGTAAAAATGAATTCAAATTCATTTGTCTGGATTTGTTTTTCAATGAAATTATTGTAGAGTCAACAATCTTATTATATTGTGGAAAACAAAGGATGTAAAACAAATTTGCATAGAAAACAGTTTATGAAATTAAAAAAAAAATTAAACTCTTAAGCAACTTAAATAAGATTAATGACCTTAAGCAAATGTTGTAGAGTACATAGTACATGATCATTAGCGACAAAGGAAAATGTATCAAATAAAGAATCATGCACAGTACAAGGTTGAACAAAATATTTATTTTTGCGGAACAGATACAGGTTCTTAAGGAGTCCAACTAGATAACAACAAACAGAAACACAGCATCACCAAAAATTATTAGTAAACAAATGACAAAAATATCATGACATATACAGGGAACTGAGCTCAGGTAATGTGCTAATGCTAACTAATACTTAAAACTAACTTACACTAAAAAAGAGAAAAGTCAGAAAGGAAAGGCAATGAAATTTAGATAACAGAAAACAATAAAATATCCAGGATGTATGTATAAATGTTACACACTTTTGGCAGGAGGCCACGTGGAACCAACTTGGACTGATTTCCAGTTATTGTCTTCCTTTTCCCTGTTTTTTTTTTCTTTTATTTATTTGAGACTTGCAGTATTGTCACTTCAATAATTTCACTAATCCTTCTCAGACTAGTTCTGTTTCACCGGTCTCACTGATCTCAACAACAAAAAGCACCATCTTTTCCTTCCTTACTTTAGCTGAAAGATGACCCACTTGCTCCAAAATGTGTCCTCAGGTAGCCTTTCCCCTCTTTGTTTCACATGGTTCCATGAATCAACTTTCACCACAAGGGAATAGAGCAAGAATAAAAGTTCTAGAAGAAGGAACAAAGAACAAAAGAAATATGCTAATACTATGACTATGTGAAAATTATATAATGGTATATGGCCACAATGTTAACAGAACAAAGTTTGACTGGCGAACAAAATGAAGGTCACTCTAAAAGTTATTGAATGGAATGGTTTCACAAGCATTCCTTCTATTTGAACAGTTTTTATAAATAGGTGTGGTCTTCTATTAAACAAATGTCCAATGAACAAAATATCCATTTTGCAGAAATATACAGTTCTCCTTTATATAACATGGTAGTTATATTCCAAAAAGTGCTGTGTTATGCAAATCCATGCTATAATGAAACAAAAGTATACTATTGTTTTTTGTTACTAAGAAATATATTTATTAAATTAATTAACCAACAATCACAATTAAAAGTGCATTATGCATTAATATTAATTTTAGTTAAATGAGGGCATTTTCTTTTTACAAAGTATCATCACTTTCTAAGTTTTTCTGTTGAACTTGATCAGAAATATCAGCAACATTATCATTTTTTTATATAACAAAATAAAANGTGTCATGTTATGCAAATATGTGCTATACAAAACAAAGGACTGATGCAAAACATAGGATTATGTTCCAGAAGTTAGTAAAAGTATACTATTCTTTTTTGTTACTAAGAGAAATATGTTTATTAAAGCAATCAATAATTAATTAACAATCACAATTAAAAGTACTGTATTATGCATTAATATGAATTTTAGCTAAATGAGGACATTTTCTTTTTACAAAGTATCGCCATCATCTCAGCTTTTTTGTTGAACTTGATCAGAAATATCAGCAACATTTTCATATTTTTATATAACAAAATAAAAATGATAATATAAACGATGACAAAATATAAATGAAAATATGTTATTAATCAAAAATTTGTTTTAGTGAATCATGTTTGTTTAGTCAAGTATGAGCGATTTTCTCCCAGAATTTTGTGTTCAAATACCAAATTGTTTGAGTACCAAGATACTGTTGTATTTTGTTTGTTGTTTTTACAAATAATTTCTTAATTATAGTTAAAAAAAAGTTTAATAACTCTTACCTAAACATATTTAAATAAATTTTACTAAATACAAAAATTAATCTATAAAAACAGAACACAGTGACAGTCTAAAAGGCTAAAGTATGAAAGTAATGAAAATAAAACCAGGTTGATAGGAAAGCTAGGACAAGGAAAAAATCTGCACTATCAGTTTTCATTAAAGTGAGCTTGATGAAAGGCACAAAAAAAAAAAATTGAAAAGTTCAATATAGTAGAGCATCGTTTATCTGAAAGTTGGTTATCCAAAAGCATTCCAGTTGTCAAATTTAAATTTTCGCTAGTGCTGTGGCACTACAATCTTTGGCTATATCTTGGGCTACTCCAATATTTTTTTTGTTGGTGTGTGTGTTTTAGCTGGCAGCACTGGCACTTTTGTGTGGTGTTTTTCTGAGGACTGTGTCGTGCTGAATTGAACGTTTTTGATACTAGATCAACTTATAAAGTATATTTTTTTGGTTTTTATATTTTTCAATATACAGTGGTACCTCGTATAATGTACGCCTCGAATAACAGACGCTGCGAATAACGGACTTTCTGTTTGACCGTTACGTGACTCGAGCAACGGACTTGCTGCGAACAACGGACTTTCCGTTTGGCAATTACGTGAGACAAACAATGGACTTTTTTCGACCAAGTGCGAATGATGTTTCCACTCTTTTGCCGTTGCCAATGACAATCTGCTATTTTTAGGATATATTAGTATTATTAGAATGTATTATTAATATATCTGAAGTAGAAATGTAATGTAATATATGTTGATGATTTAAATGAACATTAAATGTAATGTAATATATGTTGACAATTCAAATAAACGAAATGTAATTGTGTAGATGCCGAGGTGGCGGGACGAAAAGAGGTTGTAAAAAACAAACGGAGCGAGAGTAGCTCGTAGAAGTGTTTAGTGATCTTAATTAATAAAGAATTATTCGTATCATATAATCTGGCAAGTTAAGTCATTTATAATGCATCATGGCTTCTAAAAAAACAGAAAGGTGATTTCAATTGAAACAAAGCAAGAAATCATCAGGAGTGAAAGTTGACAAAAACTTTCTTGTCGAATGGGGAGAGGTTCAGGAGTTTACCAACACTCATTATCCAAACAGAGCTGAGGCCAACAGGATCAATGATCTCTACGATGACACCTTTGTCCGTCATTTCCGACAGGTGTTAAAGAAGAAAGAGAAACAGACCACCTTGGTCATGTTTTTCAAGAAGCCAGCGGGCAAAAAACAAAGGATGGAACAAGAGAAGTTGACCCTGCAAGTTCCGGTAGCCTCTCCTGAATCTGACTCCGATTAAAAAACAATAAAAAAAGACCCGCTGCAATGTGTAAAAAGTCTGTATCTGTATGAATGTGTAAAGAAAGTGTTCTTCCACCTCCTTCTCGCAACATCTGACTACCCGGCATAATTGGTGTCTGCTCCATTTTCATTTTTTATGGTACAGTATGGTTATTTTATGCTGTGGAACGAATTATATGTTTTGACATGTATTTCTATGGGAAAACGCGTTTCGTATAACAGACGTTTCACTTAACGGACGTGCACCTGGAATGGATTAAGTACGTTGTACGAGGCACCACTGTATTTATTTTGTTTGTACAAAATTAAAAGAAATAATTTTTAATGATACAATAGCCACGATTATTATTTTTAAAAGTTTTCGTTAGGCTTAATATTGACAAAAATTCAACGCAAAGCAACATGCAATAGAGAAAAATTTCAACATGGAATAGGTTAATATATTTTTTGTACATAATTGATTATCTGAAAAATAAGTTATCCAAACAACCCCAGTCCCCAATTGATTTGGATAAACTACGCTCTACTGTATTCTAAAATCCATGGGCAAATTGAGACAACACACATGCTTACTTGAAGAATAAAATATCAAATAACAGTGTTTGTACTTAAAAATTGTGAAATTTTGTACAGAGATTTTCCAAATTCTCAAACAGTTTTAGAATAAAACCAGAAATCATGTTGTACAGGGGATATCTCCAATTTTCAAACCATGTTAGAGTGAAACATGTTGTAAAAGTGTCATATTGTAAGAGGGATAAAATGTATATATATTTAAATTTAATATGATATATTTAAATTTAAAATTCAAATACTTACACATTTTCCACTAACTTTAATGCTTGTACCTAGTTTCAAATATAATAAAAACCAATAAGAATTGTAAAATAATTATAATTTATATTATCATAATTATATATATAATTACTTTCATCATCAGATTTTCCTAAATCTTTTAGAAGATCCAATTCTGCTAATAATTTAATATAATTAGATGTTTTCATAAATGTTGGAAAATAAGGTTCTTCTTGCATGATATAATAAACCTAAGAATAAAAATTATAATGTAACAATGTTAATAAAATAAGCCAATAAGTTGCAAGTGTTTGTAATGCCATATTGTATTAAAACTAACAGATAGGATATCAAGTAGGTGCAGGAATGGTACTCTAAAATAAATAATATTAAGAATTTCTTTGGACTCCTCAAAAAGAGGTCTTGCACCCCTTTTTTGGGAAGTTTGAATAATCATTGATATAAAGCCATTTAAATGCTTTATGGCTACTGTAAATATGAATTAAAAATTTTATGACATGTTTAATTTATAAGTTAACAAAACAGAGTCAAAAATTCTGAATCATCATCCCATTCAACTATAGAAAATTCATATAACAACATCGCAAAGCCTGAGTAGTATACAATAAATCACCAAACAATTGCCTAAATACCAGGCAATAATATGGCTAATTAAACGATTGGTATAAAGTTATTATAATTATTAATTTACTTAAGAGATGGCACCTAATGTCTACCTCTAATGTCAAATTTCTTTATACCAACCATTTAATTAGCCATATTATAGCCCGATATTTAGGCGATCGTTTGGTGATTTATTGTATAGAAAATTCTATATATTTAAATAATTTCTCTCAAATTATATCTTTTTACTTTCACTCCAATCATCAATTCAGAACAAAATTTGAAAGTTAAAATAAAAGAATAAAGAATATTTACCTTGGCTTGAGCTTCATCAAACCACATCTCATTTGGTTTTTCAGTTCGTATCCTAGAGAGAAGTTTCTTCAGTAAACCATCATCTAATTTAATCTTTAATGAAGCCTAAAATAAATGAAACTTTACAAGTAAATGAAAGTTTTATTTCAATTAATAATATTCTGCTTCATTATTTTAAAGACTTCATACAAACTATTTCAACAGTGAAAATTATTTAATACAAACACAGCGACAATATTCTGTTTATACAAAATATACTTTTTTGTGCATTTATGTTTTTTTTTTTTTTTTTTTAATAAACTGATATGTCAAGGATATTTTAGTGTTGAAAGTTTCTGGATTCTTCCTTTTATTTTTAATCCTATTTTTCTCTAAGTATTTTCAGAAACAGATAAGAGAAACAATTTTTCAACACAGTAATTATTTAAAACTATTAGTTTTATTATTCACATTTTTTACTATTATTTATTTCTACTTTTGTTTTTTGCTAAATCTGTTCGATGCTCGTGCAAAAATATTTTTAATGTGAAATGATGAATCATAATAAAAATTAAATGCCCTTGAAAATAATACCAAATCATTTCAACATTATTTAAAGTATTTTTCCTATTCATTACTTATCAAATGATACTTAAATAATAAAAAAGAATTATTTTCTAACATATTCTTTTACTTTTTGTGAGACCATTAAAACTCACAAAACTTTCCTATCTGAAATGCCCATTATGATATAATCAACCATATAATTACTAATGAATATCTAAAATCACATTTATTTTATTATTAATGTTTAACTTATGGCCAATTTTGGCAGTTTCTTTTAAATATAATTTAAACTAGGGACAAATATATACATGGTGCCTGATCTTAATAAAAATATTTTTATTTTAATGAATTATAAATACAGTACTTGATTAAGCCTACCATCATTAATTTAAATCTATACACAGTGTACTCCAGTGAAAAAGTGACTGGTTTTATCTCCAAACTGTCTGCAGTATCAGTCAACATATGTTATTTAGTAGGTTAAACATTGGCAAATTTGTGGTAAAAAGTAATTATTCTTTAATTATTGGATATATATTTTGTAAATGGAAATATTAACTATAATATTAAAGGGACCACACTTTGAAGATAACAGCATTACTTTTTGTCATGAATACATTTATATCTTAGTTTTCTAGGGGTATATTTCCTATGCTGAATGCAGGTGGTTATTTGTGATATCATAGGTAAGTTGTGATAATACATTGCTAATTTTGTGAGAGGATACTTTAGCCTATATATTCTTAAGTGAATTAATTTTTATTATAGTACATATATTTTCTCTTACACTTTTTATCTGAGAACATACATATATGTGCATACACAAAATAACTTCAATCTTCATCTGAATCACTAGCACATCCATATCTCTCTCTCACACACACACACTTCCCTTCTTCACATAATGCCTGGCATTTCTTGTGGTACCAAATCAAACAAACTACATTATACACATTATGCTCTACTTTTATTTTTAACTACTTCATTAAAATTGTGACACTCTTTAGATGCCTTGTATATTGAACATTTTCCATCCTTGTGGCTTTAAAAAGTTTATCTTTATCATATTGATAATATTTTTATGGCATATTGAGTAATAATTTCATGACATATTGGTTACTTTGTGATATTTCCTTTTGGACCTAAAAAGTATGATGGTTATTCAGGATATTTTCAACTAACATTATCTATAAGTTACGTATATTACTATTTTACTTTTTCTAACTGACATTAGTTAATTATTGAACAGTCCTTGTGTTTGATGTGTCTTGATTTTCACAACAAAAACTAAGAATGTTGACCAAATAGCTAAGGAAATTTAAATGCACAATACAGTAAAAAAAATAATAACTATGTATTTAAATATATCTCCAGTTCTTAATTTATTGAAATATCAAAGAATAATTCACTTACATTAACAAACAAAATATTGATGATAAGATAAAACTAGTCTTTTTCAACGCTTCTACAAATTTTGAATTTTCTTCTTCTTACATTAGAAATCTTTCTGCTAACAGTTATAAAGTGGCAGTTTACTTGAACAAACAGAATTTTCAAATTTAATATATTTGACGTCATCTGCAAGCAAAATTTCAAATCTCATCTTACATTACTTATTTGATGAAGATGAATTTAAAAACTATCACAAAATTACCAAATGTTTACCCTAATGCATTTTAGCTATTCACCATCAAAACTTTGAAGGCATATTAGCATGTCTGGTTCATGAATTCTGACAGTATCTTTTGTGCTTTTGTAAAAACCTATAATGGAACAATGTATTAACTGTGTAAATTTTGTTTTAAATTAGACAAAACTCCTACTGAAATGTTTGAAATGATTCAAACTGAAGGCAGTGAAGCCATGAGTCACAAGAATGTTTTCAAGTGGCATGAAAGATTGTATGTTGGAAAGGAGCACTGGAGACAATTCATAGTCAGGCATCTCAGAAACAAGTGGAAATAAAAAAAAACCTTGCAAAAAGTAGCTGAAATTAATCAAACTAATTGCTATATTGTTTGTGGGACAAAATTTCATGTACATGATCTAAATACTGCAAGCAAGGCTCAATGGTCATTGTTGCATGATAACACTCCAGCTCACAGTGTCAAGGTTGTATGTAATGTTTTGGCCAAAAAAGCATAATGGTGCTTGAGCATCCATCTGTTCTCCTGATTTAGCTCCCACTGACTTTTGGTTATTTCTAAAATTAAAGTTGGCTGTAAAAAAGCACATCTTAGTTCAATTCAGGACATCCAAAAGGTTGTAACAAAATTTCTACAAATGATTCTGGCAGAGGACTTTAAGCACTGCTTCAAACAGTTTTACAATCATTTCCAGTGGTATATTGAGTTCAAGGAGACTATTTTGAATAATCAATAATAAAAACAAAACATAAATAACACCTTGTGTTTTATTGACATGTCACCTTTTCACTGGGACACACTGTGTATATAATTGAATATATTTGATTATTACTATGAAGTAAAACAGTTTTTGAAGTCCCAGAAGAAATCCACAGTTTAGTTTACACTGCATTCTGTTTAAGAGAAATACGAGTAACAATTACAGTAAACTATTTTCTAGTCCAGACTATATACATAAATGAACATAAAATAGCCTGATGCAATCTGAAAATCATATGGCATTAACTAAAACAGTTATTGGATGTTTATAGTTATATACATAAAGTACTAAACAATACCTGTATCTGTTAATATAAAAATCCTTATATACTTCACCAATGCAATTATTATTATTGATTTCTTAAGTTTCAAAAAAATTTAAGCAAATTTAGCTTATTTTTGTATTCAAAACTTGTAAAAAATTTTAAAAGTCTCATATTTTCAGATGATGGTACTAAAATTTTTATATTATACAGTTATTCTTAAGAATTTTTGTTTTAAAATGCCAAATCCAAATTAATAAGTGAAACATAATTTAAAATTCTGATGCATCTTATTCTCAACTGGTTGAAAAGTAAAAGATTCATGGAAATATACTGCTTATAAATGATAATATTAAACTATACATCTAGTAGATCAAAACTATATAATACTTGCTAACATCAACTATCAACCCCAAGGTTTAACATAAATCATTACAGGAGATCCCACAGAAGTTGACACTAACTATAACAATAACCTACTGTATTTAAATCTAATTCAAAACATTCTATATATATTATATATAAAAGAACAATTATGAATATAGGCCTAAAATGAAAATATTTGTAAATGTGTTAATAAATCATGATAATGTAAGAAAAGTATATTACAAATTTACAATACCATCTAAGCATTGCAGAGTTTTTTTTATTAAATGTTTTAAGCTACTGTTAATAAAAAAATTCTCTCAGCAAATGCATAGGTGTTGTAGTAAATTTGTAATTTATCTCTGCTGAGTACTTCCAGACTGAAAATTATATTGATGTTCAATGAAGAAGAAATATAATTCAAGTATGATATGAATATATTTATCATCATATATAGAACTAAACTTTTATATGTGGATGTGTATAGTACATATATATGAGGTGTGTGTAAAACGTAATGAGACTGATATTAATAAAAATTTTTTTATAGCAACTGAACTATAAATCAACATTATCCCGCTTTCATATTACATAACATCCTTGGGAAACTACACACTGATGGAGACAACTCTCACTTCAGTAGCAGTACTGGAAATCATCAACTGATAATGCATTCAGATGGTTTGTAACAATTTTGATGTTGTCTACAGCTCTGAAATGACAACCTTTCAGGTGCAACTTCAGCTTAAAGAAAAGAAAGAAGTCACACAGATTTAGATCAGGTGAGTTTTGGAGAATGTGTACTGGAACATCCTGTTTAGTCAAAAATTCAGTCATGGAGATGACAGTGTGATAGGGCACACTGTCATGATGCAGTAACCAAGAATCCACAATATCTGGTTGGATATGATGAACCCTTTTTCTGATTTGTGTTTGTAGAGTTTTCATTAAATTTGGTGCAAAATTTGATCACACAATACTGATGAAGTTTCACTTTTTACACTTTCATAATGCACCATTATAATATCTACCATACACACTTATACAACTTGTTGTCAACTCAGACTTGTTAACACTAATGTGTTGAAACTTGTAATGAAGAACAACAAATGCAAATGCACATTTCAGTTGGTATTGAGATGTGGCTATACAATGCTTCCCTCTTTCAAGTCACTCATTCACTTCCATTAGTTTTTAGATACCATTTCATACACACACATGCATAAATCAGACATATATAAATTAAAATTAAAATATAATATAAATCTCAAGGGAAGTTTTATAAAATTGTATTCTGTTAGAATATATTCTGATAATTAAAATTATGATTAAAGTATAGCTAAACATTTATTCCAAAAGCTGTAATTATATTTAATTATTTTATTCTTTAATAAAATCAAACAAATTTCATTGTTTACTTTTTCTGATAAATAAAAATCATAAATCTGAAGAGCTGCTCTTCGTATCACTTCTAAATCAGGTGGCGTAGCTGATGCTTCAGATCCTTTTCTTAATTCTGCATCAGACAAAACTTGTTCTGCAGAAGCTCTAAATCCCTTTTAAAAATAAAGATAAGTGAAATTTAATTTGCTAACTCTAAAAACAAGTTTATCATTAAATAATATTTTTAAAAATATTACCTCTACAGCATTATAAAATGCAACATATCCACTTGCTCCTATATTTGTCATAAATTCTATTGATAAAGAACAATCATTAAGTAATTAATTCTTAAAGTTACACAATCATTAAAAAAATACTTTAACATATCCTAATATACAGTAAATATATATCTGTATCTGTGTCACATAGAATAATAATAATATTCTATGTATTTTTATACCCATAAGCCACAGAAAATTCCTAGAACAAAAATAAAATCTTTACATAATCCACCCACCATATATCCTGCACTATGATAACCATTACTCTATAGACATGAATTTGTAAAGTAAAATCAGCATATAACCTGCCTATTACCATAACCTGTACCCTTTTCAAACTGTCTTTTAAACACAGATAACCTTCAGGTTATACATATGAAAATGTGGCAGTTAAATTTTTAAGGTATTTTTATTTTATTTTTATTAAAAGTAAAAATGAAATAATCACTAAAAAAACAAATCACACACACACACACACAGATATATAAGCTTTACAAATTTTTAGAATTCAAATATATTTTTATATAAAATAAAATTTTGGGATATTTCTACTCAATTTGTCATTAAAAATGAAATAGGATTATACTAAAATTATAATACAATATAGTTTTATTCATAACATTTGACTTTGTATTCCCTTTAAAGAAGAAAGACAATCAACCCTACAAAAAATTTTAGTGGATATAATCAAAAATAAAGAATTGAAATCAGATATAATTTGAGAATATAAATATACTTTTCAGGTAAAAACAAATCTTTGGTTATTAATTACCAAAAGAAAGAGGAAATCTGAGAACTTAGTAAAACAAAGTCCATCATGTGTCAGAAATATTCAACCACTGGTCAGAAATTGGTGCATACTGACTTGAAATATATAAACTACTGACGAGAGGCAAACAGTACTAACCAGAGTATTTAAAGAAAAGCAAATTAAAAATGCAGCAAATTGCACAAATATGACATGAGATAAACCAGTAAATGAGGAGATTCACAAACTGGTCATTGAGAATCGAGGCACTCAAAGTACAAAACTGTATTAGATCCTTTGAGAAGTACTGTATACTCAATTATACAACTTTATGTAACAAGTCAAGTGACACTGGATAAAATAAATGGCTGTTTGTATCTGCTAATACCTTGACAGGGACATTGCTAAGATGCTATGTCCTCAAATACAGAATCTGTCACAGAAAAAATTGAACAAATAACAAAAATTTCACAAACATTTTGAAACATATACTGCATTGCTAAGCAGCAATGCAGTACAGTCGACCCCCCTATAACATGATAGATACGTTCCGGTTTTTATGAATCCATTTTCTACGAGTCCAGCTACGACTATGCTATAAACAAAAAATTGTAGGATTACTTACTGAGTGTGCACCGTTCAACTACACCATTGCTTAAGCTTGTTTTCGTTGTGGAGCTTATCATTGTATGGCGCTTATGTGCTTCCTGATAAATTATTTTTTTGCAAAAAATTCGCTGAACTTTGGAGACATCGTTAATATAAATACAATTTTTATAAACGTTAAATAATAAATGGTTTTTAGTAGGTCCGCTGCTCATTTAAACTCAACGGTTTGTGCAATATCCGCTATTGGTCTAGATTTGACCAATCCTGTTGCGACACGAGTCGGCGATGACGTTTTACCGAATTATAGGAGTTTTTTAGCGTGTTTGTATGAATACTGTCGCAATTTTTTCACCGTGATACAGGAATCCAAACTATAGGAACCTATGTTATGGGGGGGTCGACTGTATATGTTTCAAAATGTGATTCTGCTTGTATTACATCAAGCAAAAACTGTACCTAACAATGCTAAATAAGTATAGTCAAAAAAGTGGACAGAATCACATGTCTAAACCTACTAAAGTTTAGACATGTGATTTAGTTGGAAGAACCAGTACTTATAAATATAAAATAAGAGCAAGGTTAGGAATTGAACCGATGTTAAATTTATATATTTATATATACAGTCAACCCCCCTATAACGTGGGTTCCTATAACAGAAATTCCTATAATGTAGCGAAAAAATTGCGGCAGTATTCGTATAAAGGGACTCGTAAAACGTCGTCGCCGACTCGTGTCGTGACAAGATTGGTTGAATCTGGACCAATAGTGGATGAGCAGCCGAACTACTTTCCGCCATCCAGAGCCATGCTACGGAAAGTTTAGGCGGGTAAATTGAGTTTGCTATCGTCTATACAGTATTATATATAAATTAGATACTGTATATATAATTATATATTAACTTAATTTATTGTAACTTTATTATAATTATACATATACTTTCCGCTGTCCAGTGCCACACTACGGAGAGTTTAGGTGAGTAAGTTGAGTTTACTATAGTCTGTACAGTATGTAAATTAGGTACCGTAAGTCTAATACAGCACTAATTTTATACATTTCTTGTGAAAAAACATTTCTTATTCAACGGCCATAAAAATTATTTATATTAATGATGTCTCCAAAGTTCAACAAAGTTTTCGCAGAAAAATAACTTATCCGAAATTGCGGCCGCCGTTTGGTGCGCTGCTCCGCAACGAAAACAAATGTAAGCAACGGCGTAGTCGAACGGTGCACACTCGGTAAGTAATCCTACAATTTTTTGTTTATAGCATAGTTTATACGAATTATTCCCAAAAAATTATACGTGTTTTGGAAATGTTGAGTCAAATTAGTCTAGAATCAGTTAATTTTATAGAAGAAAACCTTTCAAACAGCCTTAGTCCGTAAACTTCACACGTGTCGGGCTGTGATTGGCTCATGTATTTAAGGATTCCTACAACGTAAAATTCTTATAAAGTGGAACGTATCTAAGCGTTATAGGGGGTCTACTGTATAGATAATTAATACTGGTTCAATTCCTAACCTTGCTCTTATTTCATAATTCCTTAATTTATCCATTCCTAAAACTATATCTGTATTCCAAACTTAAATCTGATTTTCACTTCTTTATTTTGATTATATCCCATAAAGTTTGCATGATTGAATTTTATTGTCCTTGACTTTGTATATACAGACAAACAAAGGGAGAACCTATCAAATCTATTGCCAGCAATTTTGCAAACTGAGTCATTAGTGTTCATAAAATACAAATGATATATCTTTTGCAAAGTTTTTTATGTTGTCGATCTTATATTGTAGAAGAATCATAACTATAAAGATTTTATTGATAAAATTAATAGATATTAAAATGAATAATGTACAATCTAGATGAAATATCCAATTAAAAGACTAATTCTTTTTTCCTTGCAATGTCATGGAATGCTAAAGTTTAGGATCATGTGCCAACTGTTTTGCCTCTTGGTAACTGGTGCTTGTTTATCACAGGATGCTGAGAATGTTATCTATTCAAATTTTGCATGGTCTTCTTCTGACTTTTAATATATTATGACTTTCTATGAAGACAATATATGGTAACTTGTCAATTGTCATTCTTGATAAAGTGCCCAAATCATCTCATCTATTGTCTTATACATATGAAGTAAGAGCAAGGTTAGGAACTGAACCAATGTTAAATTTATATATATATAGATAATTAATATTGATTCAATTCCTAATCTTGCTCTTATTTCATAATTCCTTAATTTATCCATCTCTAAGTGAGACTCCAAGAATTCTTCTTAGACATTTCATTTTATTGTTATTGTGAGAATCAGGATTTGGGTCATTTTTAAAGAAATTAGGAAAAGAGAGAATGATTTAAATTCAATTAGAAATTAATATTTTATAACTTCAACAAATCTTCAAATCAACGGATGTCAAAACTTTCGATTTTGATAGGAAGTTCATTTCTTTTCTCCGATGACTAGTAAATTGAATCAGAAACAGCCGCACACAAGACTTGGACAGCTGTAGGCCATCAACTCGTATAAAAGGGACATTTTCCTACCATTCCAGGTAGTCCATCGAAGAAGTTACCATACAGACTTTATACAGTTCATTGAAAGAAGTATTTGGCACATAAACTACGATGAAGGCTGTTCCAAGTTAAGAGGACCGCCATATAGAAGTTGATCATATTATAATAGTGCACCCATAGATGTTACAATTCCTATATGTCTCCCCAATCCTGGATGAGAAGACAGTGTTCATATACAAGATACTTACAGAACTGTGAAGGTATTATAATCTATTTACATTGATGTGAACTCTCTCTCACACATATAGATTTAAGTTAGATGGTTGAATTTTCTCTCTCTCAAGATAGGTTCAAAATCTATTATTTGTAATCCCTTTAATTGTAATATTGTTTTTATTTGATTCCATTAAATATTTTGTTTTGTTACTTTAAATATGGTCTCTTCAATGACTCCACTCCACATACTTACGTCCCTCCCACTCGAAATTCCTCATTTACGCGTGTTAATCCGTGGATTAAATAGATTAACTGGTGTCAGGAAAACAACTTCTAGGGGATCTCGCAAACTCCTAGATTAAATTTAATCTTAGGAAGTCATCCATTGACGTTTGAGATCGGATCTCACAATCTGTGTAGAATAAGTGGTCAGACAGGTTTAATCCTTACCCCCTACTTATCTCACATTATTACTTTCTACAGCAGTGAGTTGACATAGTGCAGGTCTGACATTGATAACATAGTGTGAGTGAGATGTTCTTTACTATATTAATTTTAGTTTTTGGAATCTGCTTTGAGTCAGTAGAGAGGTTGAGGCGCACGTTTTAAACGTGTACGTGTGACGTTCGGCGCCGTTTTCCCGTAAGCCTAAAAGTTTGACGATGGTGTTTGGAATGTCGAGCGTGATTCCACCGAGTATCCAAACACCATTGTTAAACTTTTAGGCTTACGGGAAAGCGGCGCAGAACGTCACACGTACATGTTTACACGTTTAAAATGTGCGCCTCAACCTCTCTAGTAACAGTGAAAGCTGACCAAGTATTTTATTTGCCTGTAAGCATCTTAATTCAATTTCTCTGACCAACCTGCCATCTTCAGTGAAACAAGCTTCCAAGTATTTAAATTCTCTGTCCTGTTTCAATATGTAACCTTTCAGAGTTACATTTAATTGAGGGCGTTTACATTCATTGTTTCTGTATTCTTCTATATGTATATAAACATTGAAAAAATTGAAATCATGTCTACATGACTTCACAATGTTTATACACACATCAAAATCAGCAAACAACAGTTCATTTATTACTTATTTATGTTATTTGTTTATAGTAATTAATAATATGGAGCCAAAAACACATGAGGTAATATTTAGTTATTAGTTTGCCCTGTTAAGTAGTCAATGTAGCATAGGGAAAGCAAAAATTATAAACAATCTTGCCTCACTCCAGATGTTACTTCAAATGGTTTTGCTAATCCTACTCTGGTTTTAATTGTACAAATGTATTTGTAATGTAAACTTAAATATCTATATCAGGTGACCACTGGCATCATAACTCTCCAAAATTTCCCATTACCCAATTAAAATAAAATACCCATTAAAATAAACTATTATTATTATTTTGTATTAAATTAATATTCACAAATAAAATCTATAAGGTAATATTAACTAAAGCATTTGATTTTTTTCCATGTTTTAAAAATTTATTAGTATATATATTTTATAAAATATAGTATTAATACCATTTACCATTAATTTTTATATTGGTATTCACTAGTATTATAGATGAAATATTTCATCAGTTAAACTTTCATTAAGATTCTACATTTTGTTATTAAAAGCAAATTAATTGTTAACATAAAATAAAACATTTTATTAAATTTTAACATACCTGTAAAATAGTATAATGCAATACCATTGGTCATAACAACATGAAATGGTAAAGAAAACAATTTCACTCCAGGATCTGTCAACTGTTTCCAATCTATATCCTAAAAGCATTTTTTAAAAATTAATTATAACCACAAAAACAGACTTATTTTAAATATATATAATCTATTAATTTTGGAATATACTCAATTCATTGCATAAAATTTCTTTTTTTCATATATTAAAATAATCAAATTTAGAATTAAAAGTCTAATATTAATTTAATTACAATGGCAATCCAAGTATTGAATGATAAAGTAATTTTATTGTTCAATTTCTGTCAATACATATAATATCAAGCTTTTTGATATCACAAAATTTTATCTATTTTCATATATGTATAGTTTTACATTTACATATATGGTGTAAAACAGCATAGTAAGAAAAAAAATATTACTATTTCTAAAATGTTGCTTAAACTAATTTTTACTTATTTAACATCAAGTATTAAAATTTATAGTATTGTTATTTAAAATTTCTGCAAGATTCTACATGTTATATAGATTAATACTAATTTTTTTATTAATTCTTTCTCTACATAACAAATTATTATTATAACTTTTATACAGAATTTCAACAATGTAATTTTGATCTTATCTGAATTCATTAAATGATGATGTATTCACGTTTAGGATTGAATTTATTGATTGCAAGATAAAAATAAGTTTGACTATTAAACGAATTCTTTTAATGACTTATAAATTTATATTCTTAACTGAATTGAACTGGCAGATTTAATCTCATCATATGATTTAGAATTTATTGATATAAATTGAATATAATTATTTAGAACCATAATACAATTTCCATAATGTCAAAAGACAACACAATACAATACAATAACCATAATGTCAAAAGACAACACAATACAATAACCATAATGTCAAAAGACAACACAATACAATAACCATAATGTCAAAAGACTATCTGATAGTTCAAAGTGCAGATTCATATCAGTTAGTCACGATCTCCTATTTTTGAATATAGCTTTGTATGTGTGTAACAAAAATTAAAATATGATTACATTACAATGAGATCTTTAAGGATTTAATCTTTGTTGTAAAAAGAAATTTTACAACAAAGTTATTATTTTATTTTCTTTTATATAGTTTCTGTAAATAAAATTTTTAACTAATTAAAACAAATGCTTAAACTGAAATATCTCTTATTAATATACAAAATAGCTCCACCTCTATAAAGATTAATGAAGGCTAATTAATACTTTCCTGAATTTAATTCTAAACATGTAATCAAAATGAAATCTTTGGGATATATTTTTTACTTGTGCTATTATTAAACATTATAAATAATAAAAAATATTAATAAAAAAAATATGAATTTAAATAAATCTTACTGTTGGTAAACCTGTTGAATCTGTATCTACACTTCCTTCTTCTAATCTCTGCAATCTTGTATTTATAACTTTTTGAACATACCAAAGACTACTTAATTGTTGCTTTATTTCTGCATCTGTTTAATTATATTAAAATAAAAAATGATCTAAATCATACAGATTAAAATGAAAGTTTATAATAAGCTTATTAGGCTAAATAGTATAAATCTTATCTCACTATTAGAATAATAATTACACATTTAACATAATTTGACATGTAGCTTTTAAATTAATTCAACCTTATAATTTACTGATACTGGTACTTTTTATTTTATTGGTCTATCTTTTGTTCATTGATGTGCACGATACATTATTATTGATTTTTCATGAGGAAAATTCTTAACAATTTTTCTGACTAGGTAGCAACTTTTAAATTGCAGACCTACAAATTTTCACTGACACCCATAAGTCTGTCCGTCTATTCTTTGTTAATCTCAAGAATAAAGTCAGGGGTCATTCTTGAGATTAATGATGTCCCAGGTCAGAGGTCCCTATTAACTATACAGAGTGTATCAGAATAATGTTTTAAAAATTTGGGGGATTGTAAAGGATGAAATTTTGAACATTTTGATATAAGGTACCTATAGCCGGAAATGTAATATAAAGTTTCTACAGCACTTTGCACATTCTATGCGGTCAGTATGCTGAATGAAACATAGAGAACTTGCATATCAGCAAGTTCTCCAAATGTGTAGTTACCTTCCATGATGCCAGAACGTATCCATACTACATGAAGCATGATAAGCAGACAACCGTACACTAACTTACATTGACTAGCTGTGTGTTTACAGCACAGCACCAGTGGATGCAAGGGGTGACCTGAAGGACGACAAGCACTAAATACACAATGTTCTGTACACAGGCTCAGTTAGACCACTGTAGTTGTGTGTTTACAGTCTTCCATCCGCGGCAATAACATGGTGTCAATGGACGGAAGGGTAGCTACCAAAGTGAAGGGTGTTCAAGCACTTCCTACTGCTGTAGACACTTTAGTTCAAATTTCTGGCTATAGGTTCCTTATATCAAAACATTCAAAATTTCATCCTCTACAATCCTCCAAATTTTTAAAACGTCATTCTGATACATCCTTTATAGGACCTTCCAGTCTAGACTATAAGCCACATGATTTTTTAAAATAATGATTAAATATCGCAGCTTGGCATTGTAATGACATCAAAATAAATAATTGCTTACTATAAATATAGTTATTTATTAGATTTGTATAAGATTTTAATTTTAGATTGTAAAGAGAAAATTAAAACAAAAGTTTATGAACATTTTCATATGTATAATTAGATTAAATGATTTAACTATAGTTTTAAGGATGACCAATATAACGTTTATTTTTGAACTCTACTTAACTGTTATACATGCACTATATTATAAATTATATATGTAATTACAATATGCAGATGAAAAATAATAGTAATTAAAAATATTTTTTTTTACAACTAGAGATGTACAGTATAATGTGTTTCTAATATACTCTATCATCAACTTGATGTTATGTTTGACTAAGGAAGTTCTGACAAGGAAACACATTATTGTCAATATCTCTACACATTTGGTTACATAACTGTGATTTTGATTTCCATTTTTACTGCTATTATCAGTGATTATTTTAAAGTTTCATTTTTACATTTATACATGATTTTGTAATACAGTATAAAATAAAATCTATCATTGAAAAATTAAATATACTGGAATTTATTTTCATACCATCTTGTTCTCCTGTATCTCTTGATCTCTGAACTGCAATTTCATGTTTTACAATTTCTTTAACTGCTTGAAGTTCATCTGCATTATCTGTACAACGAAGAACAAGAAGAAATCCTTCACTTGTTATTAAAGAATCTTTGCACTGTAAATTAAAAATGACTAAATTAATTAAATCAAAAAAATTTTTAAGTTTTATTATGAACATTACAAGGGTAAAAATTGAAATAATACATTATATTCTCAGAATTTAAAAAGGTTGAGGTTTAAAAAACAAAAGTAAATACATTTTAAGAATGTAATCAAAACAGATGACGATCGCACTTATACAATCACTTAATTTATGTATATACAGTATTATATAAATTAAGTGATAAATTTGTAAACGTGAATGCAAAGAAATGATTCACTGCGTATAAAAATCCAGCAACGAGTGGAGTAACTTTTCCGGCAAAAAAAAATTATCAATTTAGTGGCGCCATCTGTTACGATATTTTATTAAAAGAAACTTTTTACATTACTAATTATTATATATTAGTATAATACATTTTATTATATACAGTAATATAGAGTATTATATGTTTAAAAAAAAAGTGTAAATGCAAATAATTAGTGAAATCTTTAATTGCGACTCTACTCACCAGTCTGTCTCCAACCCCTCAACCTTTAACCACCAAAATTTAATAGCATAAATTTCCCTAATACACAAATCTCCCTGCAAAATTTCAGAAATTTTCGACAAGAGGCACAGGAGTTATTAAGTTTCAAAGTGGGTGAGCAAAATCGTGCCCCCAACACAAAAAAAAACAAAAAACATCCGATGTTTTTTGCATTNAATTTTTTCCCGCCTGCAGGAAGCGTCAGTCGTTGGCAATCGGCCTATGAGTGAGGTCATGTAGTGCGCTCTCGTCAGATTCCACTAAGCTGGAAAATGACTGAACAACGTGAGCAGCGATATTACATCAAATTTCCCCCAAAACCTTGGCGATACCCAAACGTAAACCATTCGCAAGATTCAGCAGGCTTTCGGGGACGATCCTCGAGGCAAAAAAAAAGCGCGGCAGGTCCGCAGCAATATCAAAGGTCATGTTGACGGTTTTTTCAACTCTCGTGGGGTGGTGTGTCGTGAGTATGCACCACAAGGCCAAACTATCGCAAAGGAGTACTACCAGGAGGTCCTTCGTCATCTTTCCGATACAGTGCGACACAAACGATCAGATCTGTGGTCGATCAAAACTTGGCAGCTCCATCGTGATAACGCATCCACCCATTCTGCGCATCTGATTCGGGCTTTCATCGCCAAACACAATACTCCTGTGGTTCGTCACGCTCCGTACTCTCCCCACGTGGCTCCGTGTGACCTTTGGCTATTTCCCAAGCTGAAAATGCCGCTAAAAGGAACCCGAATTTAGTCGAGAGAAGACATTGTGCAAAATCCGAAGACTGGCTGATGGCCATTCCAAAAGATGCGTTCTAGCGGTGTTTCCAGCAATGGCAGGAACGCTGGGAGAAGTGTATACATTATCAAGGAGACTACTTTAAAGGGGATTAGGGTTTTGTACCTCAAAATCAATAAATGTATTTTTGCCGACCAAAGGTCCGATACTTTTGGAACAGACCTTGTATATACTAAAACTGATTTGTTTACAATTATAACATACAAGTACATGGAATGTTTTATAAAAAATGTTTTATTATACAAGTACATGGAATGTTTTATACATGTAGGGTACAATTATAATTGTACCCTACATTTTTATAAAACATTCCATGTAGTTTAAAATCTTTATATCAAAACATTTTAATTTTTTAAAATTTTTATATAGAAGCATCCAATATCAAAGATTACTACAAAACACATGAATAGGGTTCTAAAATTCCCTAAAATTAGTTTTCAAAATCATATATAGGTATTACAATAAAAATATCCATACAAGTAATTTTATATTTTATAACTATTTCTTTTTTTAATGGCAACTGAAGAAGCTCTACAGCAAAAGTAGTTGCTAGACAACTGCTTTTGTTTACAGAAACATTACTAGCAAAACCATATTTGTTGACGGTTGAGAATTCAAAATGGAATCTTTAAAAGATAATGACAGTACAATGACTGTAGAAATGTAACTGGTGATTTTCACTTGAAAAACAAGAAGTGGAATAAATTTTACACTGTTAATTGTTTTCTAAAAATGCAAATTCCACATTATTAAAACAGTGAATCAAGATAAGACATTCAGTTGCATACTTGAATATTGTCATAGGGTATTAAAAAAGTGTTGTTGGCGTTTTTGGACTGATAGAGAACCAGACAGCTTGAAAATAAAATATTCTACAGCAATACATAAGCCGTATTTAAAAGAAAAAATGTGATCACAAGGAAATGAATTTGACTGAATCAGTCAAAATCAGTTGAAAACACAATGAAAAAGGCTATAAAAATTATGAGAAATACTATTGAAACCTTCAACTAGCTTTGTGATTATTGTAGACAATGTCTTTCCTTATTGCTGCCAGCAGAAACTGTGTTGGAAATAAGCAATTCTATCATTTTGACAGCATTAAAGTTAATATGGAGGTAAAGTTTAAGTGTTACACAAAAATTCCCTAAAAATGTCTTGATGTAATTTGTGATTTCTGAGGCAAGACAGACATCATCTTTTGTCATTTTTTTAGGCAATGCAATTAATGCTGAAATTTATTCCAAAGAATGAGTGCAGAAGTGTTTGATTCCTTTCTTTAAAAAACACTATGATGATAGAAAGTATGTCTTCTGACCAGACATGGCAATATCCTATCACATGGCCATCACCATTCTGAAGAAATATAACATCTGTTACATCAAATGCGTCAAATGTCCCATCTTACACCAATTGAGCACTTTTGGCACTACTTAAAAGTAAGAGAAAACTTATGCAGAGATTGAACAAAAGAATCAACAACAGAATTAGAAAATAAAAAAAAAATCAAATACAAGTTGTACCAAACTCTTAAATCAGTGTTTGCCAATTTATTGGCTTCTTTTAAAACAAAAATGAGGAAAAAAGCTGATTACAGTGTAGATCTTATACTTGAATAGCTTATTAATCACTATGAAATTTTGTTTGATTCTATATTTTAATAAAATAAATTATTAAAAAATACCCTTGTATGGATTTTTTGTTTTCATACCTTGAAAATCTCTAAATATTAAATATTATAAATAATAAAGTATTAGTGCAATAATTTAATAAAAAAAATTTGTTTTTACAAAAACATTTTTTATTAAATTTAACTTACCAACCAGACGATAGTTTGATTAATATAATCAGGATCAGAGAAAAGATTAATCAGTGGAAGCAATACAATATTCACTACAATTTCCTATCAAAAGAAACAGTTACATCATTACTTAATCATTGTTTTAATTATAAAAAAAATTTTGCTAAATTATAAAACTTTTGCTTACTCTAACAATATATCTTAACAATTTGTTGTGAAAGTCTTCTTGTGGCAATAATAAATACAATAATACTTCTGCAAGTTCTCTAAGATAAGCTACAGAGAATAAGAATAAAAAAAAACTAAAATAAACTGCTTTACATTAATATTTTGTAAAATTTTTCAATTACACTTTAACATGCTAATAACTCTTAACTCAAATTATGAATAGCCTTTATATTCATATTTCTGTTTTACAAATGTTTTTGAATATACAAGGTCTTACTTAATTCATTAATTTTATAAATGTCTCATTTCAAAAATAATATGCTGTAAATTATTTTTTAATTTAGTTTGATTATGTTAAACTATAAAGATATACGATATTGCAATTATCTTCAAACTAACAATTCTTGTTTAAATAAACACACTATTACACCAATAACCAGCAAAAACTCAAATAATTTTAATGAAAAAAAAATTATTCTGCTTTCAAACTAATATCTTCAGGTTACATATATCAAATGCAGAATGGAACAACTAATTTTAAAAATAAACAGAACTTAAATGAAACTTCAAATAGGTGAAAACCTGTGCATGCCCAACACAGAAGTAACAAAAAGGAAAAAATAGTTATTTACAACATATAATAATTAATAAAAGAAAAATTATTATGAAGAACATGCAAGCTCAAGCAGTGTTTGCCAAGCCAAGCCCTGTATGAGTTGTATAGTTGACATGGTATTATTTGAATTTTTTGTTGATTACTGGTGTGATAGTATTATCACACCAATTCACACATACATACAACCAGTTTTCTAGTAGTGATAATCTTTGTTTATATTATTATTATGTTTTTGCTCGTTTCTACAATCAAATTAATAAAATATGTTACATTGTATTTTATAGATTAATATATCACTTATTTATAATTTTAATGTAATTTGAATTGCTTCATTCAGAGTCTTATTTTTTAAAATTATATTTAAAGCATGTTTATAATATATAGCTTTATTTCTAAGAAGAGCTGTATTTTATAATTTCTTTACAATCAATCATTTCTGTAATTTGATTCTGCATGTGAATAATCTAAGCAAGCATATCATATAATATAGCATGCTGTTTCTTGTTATTTTATATCAAATAACATATGAATGAGTTAAAATTCTCACATAATAAAATTTCAATTTATTAAATTATTCATTAATAGAAGACAAAGTAAAAAAAAAATACTTTTTCACACTGCTGGAATAATAAAATTATTTAATAAAAAGACTTTGAAGTAAATGAATTGAAGTAGAAAAAAGCCTTAAGATAAAGGTTAAATCTGCACTTTTGCTATTCCTGTGATGTGGAGGAAAAATGAATGAAAAATGTTTAAAGTTACCTTTCTCATGTTCTGGTGAAGTAGATACAAGATCTCTGCATAAATTTTGTTCCATTGTTGTTTCCAAATCAAAAAATAAGGAATGTAAATTTGGACAATTATTTNACATTATTGAGATTAAAAAGATTATAATTGGATGGCACTTGAATATATATGTATGGAACTATAATTTGTACATATATATAATCTATTTTTAATAAGAGTTTAAGTGAATTCAGCTATGTACATTAATAGCTTTTAAATTTGTATAACAATTCTAAAACTATAATCGTATCAACATTATTGAGATTAAAAAGATTATAATTGGATGGCACTTGAATATATATGTATGGAAAAATAATTTGTACATATATATAAAGAGTATTATTAGAAAAAATGAGTACTACAAATAATTACAGAACAACTTTGCATTTGGAATAATACTAAGCAAATAAAATATAAACTAAATAATTCCAAAAGACAAATCATTTTAACAACATACATTTTTTTTAATATTTAATTGACCAGACAAACAATTTTGGGTCAAATTCAAATATTTTATCTTTTTTAAATTCCAGCCAGCAACAGATGGAAAAACAACTTAAAGATAAACAATTCTTCATTAAAATTTTCATCTGTCATTTTTAATGAGGAATTGTTTATATTGTTCACGAATTTCTCCATTTCTCACTTTCATCCTTGGTACAGATACAGTATTCTTTCATATAATGACAGAAGAACAGAAATACCGTATTTTGACAAGTATAAGTCACACTTTTTTTACTACTTTTGGGGCTCAAAATCATGGTGCATCTTATACTCGACAGGTAACCATTTTTACAGTGAAATTACCTACAGTAGTGGTCCACTCTAGGGACCAACCTGTGCAGTGGTCCGTTAAGCAGATGGTCCCTCAACCGAATGACTATAGTATCTAGATTATCAGAGTAGCAACACACGAGTCATCGCCGCCATGTTCTGTCGACTGTCATCACGTGACCTCTGAGTTTACATTAAGAAATGACGATTATTTCAGTTTAATAAAGGCATCGATTCATCCATCCATCATATTCTTGAATAAAAAAAACAAATAAAATGCATCTTTAGACAATCCTATTAAAACAGTTTTTTCTAAATTTTTTGTCTCAAAATAGGAGTGCGTCTTATACTTGACAGCAACTTATACTCATCAAAATACGGTACATTGAACATATACAACATGTACTGTTACTACTGCTATGAGCAAACGTAACACTCCTCAATACCAATATGCTGTGACTAGTCAAAAATTAGAGTGAAATGGTCAAATTGCTAATGAATATTCAAGATATAATGACCTGTATTTGCATTCCTGTAGGTTATATACCCATTTTTGTATATACCCATGAATGAAAAAAGTTAAAAAATTTCAAACTCTTACTGCAAAAGTTATGATCGTAGATCATGTATAAAATGTATTGTGGTAAGAAGACAATATGTGTTTATGCACAAAAATTATGGTTATATATTAACAGCTACAAATATGGTTAAGATAATTAGGGAAGCAGTTGCAGACAGCACTTGCAAAATCCATCTGATGTGAACACATTTGTGATAGCCAAAATATTTAGTGTTCATAATACCATAATCAGGCTCTAGATCAGGGATGGCCAATAGTTTTTGCCCCCAAGCCGAACTGAAAAGAAAACTTTTTCATGGGCCGAACCAGAGGCTGCCCTAGGAAGATTTTGAGATGGTGCGAGATCTCATTGTGGTGTGACTCCGTAGAGATTAAATTGTAGATAGAGATTATAGATACATTTTTCACATTATCATACTTTATCAATGTTCTACGCTGTACTTAAAAGATTTGTAATGGAGGGTTAACTCTAAACACACAGTGAATTGTTGACTTTTTTTTTTAGGCATCAGAATTTTTTGTCAAGCTATTTGAACTTGAGTAGCTAATATTAAAAAATTAATCGCAGGCCACATAAATCCATTACATGAGCCGTATGCCTGCTCTAGATCATGGAACCAACTATCAATGCCAATGCCAAATGTGTTGAAATGTTAACACCAGCTGCAACACCTTCCAATAACAGTTGTTTTCCAACAAGATAGCATCTGTCCAAACTAGAGTTATTTGCTTTACAATGCTTTGAATACAGTGTTTCTCCAATGCCAACCGAACATGACAGTCAAGCACTAGTCCTTGGTTTCCCTAGTTTCCAAATGTAAGTACACTGAATTTTTTCTTTTGGAATGGTCAAGTAAGAAATAATAGTTGGTTTACTGCATACTTGTCAAAAACACAGATATTCATAAAGCCTGAACAAGAGGCAATGGTCACAACAAATGCTTAACAATGCCTGATGAAAAACTAAATATCAATTAAATTTTCTTCAAACTGTCTTGGGGTTTTGAAGTTAATGTGAACTATAATGATGATAGAAGAAAAACTTTGAGGTAAGGAACATTTATCCATAACTCAACTGTTGATATACTGTTCCCAGTTTCAATATTTTAAAAAAATAATAAATACCTTTCATGAGAACACCCTACATAATGTAGAATAAAACAAACATTCTTATGTGAATCAAAAGCTTGACTAAACAAGAACACATGATAAATTTTAAAAATATATTTGTTCAAATTTATACTTATAAGAAATATTTATTATTTCTAAACTTTTTTTAAATATGTGAATTTCTGTTTTCAATATTCAAAACTAAATTGAAATGTAATCTCTTTCTAAAATACCTACTCAGTTTGAACTTCATATTTAAAAATATATATGTAATTTTAAAAACCTTCAAAAGGGAAGATACTTTAAAAGTTAAAATCATTTCAATCTTTTTAACAGTCTTTTTAGAAGAGATTTATTTACACTAAATTAATTTCAAACTGTATTTTCAAACAATTCCTCTTCAGTAGTTGAGGTAGAAAAACAGAGCAAGTAACATAATACAAACACTCTTTAACATACAAGAGTATGGAGATACAATTTAGTCACAAGCTGTCAATTTCTTTATGTGAGAATCTGTGATGATGAGGTTATCACTCTTTTCACCTTAGTGCGGTGTCGGGCCGGTTAGGCCTGCTCACTTTGTCACTGGATGGCTTTGTAGTTTATTTATTCTTACAGGAGACTAAAAATTGAAGATCTCTCTCTCTCGATCAGCTCCTGACACCAGTTAAGAAGTAAGGCATCTTAACTCACAATATGGAATATACTTATTTATGGAATACAATTTCTTCAAATATGAAGGTTTCATGGTTTGAGTGGGGAAAGGTCATTGCATTCGTTGATAGGAGTCCAGCCTCAAAGTAAATCCAATCAACATCAAATAAACAAATAACAAAAACTTTAATGCCTAAGATAAGCCTTGGGTAAATACATACAAGGATGCTAAAATTTATCTATCGACAAGCTAGCTACTTATACATCTAATCAATCGAGAGAGAGTTTACATCAATACCTCTTGACACCATAATACCTCTTGTAGAAAATCAGATGCCTTCAGATCCAGTCTATTCAAACAGCGAAACAATGATTGAAAATCTTCTTTGGAGGTTGGAGGAGAGATGGACAAGAGCTGGGAGATAAGAGTTGACAGATGGAAGCTTGGTCCATGAGCTTCAAGGAGAGTGTCCACCTCAAGCTTGGGATCTCTGCTCCTTTTATCTCCGATTCCCCTTCAATTGGGAGGTAAGTTTTTCCTATGGGACAAGATGCAAAAGCTGCATTGCATGGACAGCTGTCTCATCAGCAGGAGAGATAAGATATCTCCATGGGAAATAGATAAACTAGACAGAAGGTTTTTTTGTTTTGTATCTGTTTCTCATGAATGGGTAGAGCAGTTTGGTCATTTTTTTTCATGCATAAAAACAGTTTAATTGCATTAATTGTTAAATGAAGGTTAGAGAAATTTTCCAACCTTGAAGAAAGGCTCTTGTTCTGTCTCCAACTTCTCACACTTTAATAATGTCATACCAACCCATGAAATTAAATGCACCAAAAATATACATAGGAGAGACAGGAACTTAAAAAAAAAAAAAGTTGATTGATTAGTTAGATTGTTAAAAAAAAGTTAGATTGAAATACATAAATTTGCCATGGCAGAAACATGTAAATGAAAAGAATTGTAAATTCAAACTACTTTATTGTGATATAACGTGTTACATGCTCTGTGTTTCTATCTCAACTACTGAAGAGAAACTATTGGGAAATACAAATTGAAAAGCATTTAGCATAAGTAAATCTTTTCTTTTATAAATAAAAAAGGACTGTTAAAAGATTAAAGTGATTTTATCATTTAAAGTACCTTCCTTTTTGAAAGCTTTTAAAATTACATATATATTTTTAAATAAAAAGCTTATATTTATTATAAGTACTTATAAATGAATAAACAAATACCCATTTCTCTTGCAACTTTTAATTTTGTTTGAGCTTGTCGGAACAGACGAAGATGAGATGCAAAGTCATCAACCAATCTTGTTGTAAGATATGGAACCCATTCAACTTCTTTTGACCTAAATATTTACATAAAGCACAATGTTAAAAGTAATTATTACCTAATTATACATATTATTATTATTTATGTTATATTAATATACAGTCAAATGTCCATATTACAAACTTCTATACAGTGAGTGATTGGTTAACATAATACAATACTTAGAATGAACATAATCTGTTCCAAGACTTTGTTTGCTATCTGAATTGTTCGTTAACCGATTATCGATTTACCACAGGTTTTTATGGAAATTTGATTAATTCGTTCAGGAAACTCCAAAAAATAAAAAAAATACAGTTGACCCCCCTATAACATGGTAGCTATGTTCCTGTTTTTATGAATCCAGCTTCTAGGAGTCCAGCCAATCACAGCCTGGCACATATGCAGTTTACAGACTATGGCTGTTTGAAAGGTTTCTTCCATAAAATTAATCGATTCTAGACTAATTCGACTCAACATTTCCAAAATATGTAAATTTTTTGGGAATAATCCATATAAACTATGCTATAAACAAAAAATTATAGGATTACTTACCAAGTGTGCACTGTTCGACTACACCGTTGCTTAAGCTTGTTTTCGTCTTGGAGATTGTCATCGAATGGCGCTCGCGTGCTTCCTGATAATTTTTTTTGCAAAAAATTTGCTGAACTTTAGAGACATCATTAATATAAATATAATTTTTATGGACATTAAATAATAAATGGTTTTTGGTAGGTCCGCTGCTCGTTTAAACTCAACGGTTTGTGCAATCCTGTTGCGACACGAGTTGGCGATGATGTTTTACTGAATTATAGGAGTTTTTTTCAGCATGTTTGTATGAATACTGTTGCAATTTTTTCGCCATGATATAGGAATACGAACTATAGGAACCCGTGTTATAGGGGGTCGACTGTATATACTTTCTCACTATGTAATAATAAAAATACATATATACACAGTCTTGCATTTTTATTAGTCAACCTTTTGTGGGGGTTAAAGAATATGTTCAATGTCAATTGCTTTCTCTGTTCTTCAGGATTTTTCAAAGTTAATTAATAGCATTGTAATTGTAGAGATCCCCAAGCCTATTAACATGTTGACTGCCAACTAGAGACAACTCATAGTTTGCATTATTGCCTAGGATGCCACCTATGAGTTATCTTGTAGTTTTTTTATTTGCCATATTTGCTTACATAAACAGAACATTTATTAATAAATGAACAGAAAATTTAATCATAAAAAGTTTATTCAAAATCAAAAAAATATTTTTATTGTTTGTGATAATTTTTAAAACAATCTTCCACACAAAGGGCATCTCTGGACAGATTGGACAGAAATAACATGTTTCTTGGCATTTTTTAGCTTTGGTACAAATTCAACATGGCTTTGTCGGATGCTGGTTTTTTCAGTAGGTGGGATACTCTGTAAATAATGAAGCTCTTGCAATGTAATTTTTTTTGAAACTGGTTGAATCTCTTCTCCAATCAACATGTTGATGAATGCTTCTCTAAACTTTATAAGTTTTATTTTAGAAGAAGTTGCTTTTTGAAAAAGTTTATGTGCATTGTGTATATGTATCTCTATAATATGTAATCTAACCTTTTTGGGCCATCTAATAGTCTTTCTTAAAGCTGTGTAGTATGATAGCATTTTATCTGATCGGTAAATGCCAGACATTCCTTGATTGTAATCTCAAATTATATTCGGTTTCATCGAACGTTTTCCATTGTGATTGAACAACTCTACTATTTCAACAATGTGCATGTTTGAAATGGTAAGGGCTTCTCATTTGTCTTTCCATTTACATATAGTAACAGGACCATTTCGCTGCTAAATAAACTCCCCCCTTTTAAGTTTTTTATTTACCACTTCTCTGGGATTCCCCTTTCTGTTATTTCGTAGAGTTCCACACAAACAAGTTTATTGTGTAGTCAGTAATTTTGTAAAAGCAACAGAATTATAAAAATTATCCATGTATACTGTATATCCCTTATCAAGATAGTCCTCAAGTAAGTGTAAGACAACATCAGTAGTGTGACCTAAATTACTGTCAATTCCCTCAGATTTTCCACTGTAAATTGTTATTTTCATAACAATACCATTGGATTCACATAGTTCATACAGTTTGACATTGTACTTGTATTTTGTATTTTTTATGTACTGGCAAAAATGCAATCTTCCATGCCACAACATCATTGATTCATCGATAAACATATTTTTATGTGGCACATAGTTTTGGCGCATAATGATATTAAAATGATTTAGTATTGGTCATACCTTATGTAATCTGTTGGAAGATGGTATTGAGCTATCAACTAGGTGAAAATAATGCAGTGACAATTGGAATTTATTTTGACTATACATGATTGCCAAAACATGTTATACAGTTTGTCTTACTCCAGTAATGTTCTATTGAAAGAAAAGAACAAAGGCCCATTTGTAATACAAGTACAATAAAAACTTTCATTTCTGCAGCACTGATGTCTTTCCACTGTGATACCCTTTTAGATTTTTTTATTTCTTTGTTTTGCAATTTCTTGCACAGCATACAAATTTGTTTGTTCGAGCACTAATGAAAGAAATTCTTCTGAAAAAAAATAAGTCCACCAGCGTTTGCACTAAGATTTATCGTATCCAATTTCAAACCAATATTTTCTTGGAAAATAAATAGTTCAGGATTTTTGTTGATTTTCTGCCCACAAATTATTGTTTGGATTTGATGTGGTTGCTTGAGAAGTATCATGATTCGCTTCAGGTTTGGAGATGACTTTTTCATCACTGTCTTCACTTGAATCCTCAGAAGGTACATAATCGCTACTGTCATCCTCGCCAAAAATCTCATCAGATTCTGAATCACTTAGATTAGTATAGTAATCAAGTTGTTTTCCAGTCAGTGGTCTTTTCTTATCCATATTGGGGTATTTATAATTTGATTATAAAAAATAATTATAAAACAACACACTCAAGAAAGACGTAAATGTGATGTGCTCAACTCTATATCTGATTTATTACTAATGAATTTAGATGCATATCTCTGACTCGGCTGTAGTGAAGTGACAGGTTGAATCGTGTCTGTGCATGAATAAACTTGTAGTTTGGCTTTAGTGAAAAGTTTTCTGTTATATAAGCCAACTACGATATAATTCATAAGATTTTTTTTTTTTAAAAAAAACATATTCTATATGCTTTTTGACAATTACTATGTACTGTACTATAATTAGAATTTTTAATAATATAATATAATTAAATTAAGTTGGCTTTTTACACTGGAATCCTGAAAAGTACTGTGGCAGTGAATGTGTTAACCTCAACCTGGTTTGGAAGCCATTCTAAGACCGTTGTTCTGACATCCTCCCACTTCTTCAAAAAATCTTAATAGCAGATATTGGCATTAATCCTCTTTTTCAGAAGAAAACATATTGCGCCAAGTTTCTTGGTATTTTTCATTCGGGAATTCTTGGCATTCTTCTGTCGTCAGATCCCTTTGAGGTTCCATCATGAACTCTTCAATGTTCTTTATTTCTCAGATGTGATTTTTGTTACTCCTTTAGCTGCTTGAGTCTTGATTATACTGAATCTTTCTTAGATAAGATTGAATTGCATCCTAATGTAGATCTGTTCAAGCCATACTGCCCAGCAACATCAATCATCATCTATCCACTCTCTACCATTGCTATGTATATTCTCACCTTTTGAAAATAAAAACTGATGCAAAACTTAATGAGTCCCCGCCCGACAGTCTTGCGAATACTATAAAAAAATTATTTCTGTTAGAAAAATAAAAGGCTGAAATTACAAAGGAGAGTTTCAAAGTTTGGAGGAATACTATCTGATCAGTATATAGTGGGTTGAGCGTCGATGTCCACGTCTCCCATGATCCAAAAAGTTTCAAGTTGTTGCCTGAGACAAGGGAATTTTTTATGTCACTTTTTCTTGTGTTTGTTGTCTGAACATAAAAATCTTTTGCAAAAGTTTTATTATCTGATCACCCACTGTATAGCAAATTTTTATATTGTACACTGCTCTTTCAGCAAAAAAATATATGTAAAATTGCTTCTAAATAATAAAGTTAAATGTCTATATAACAAATGTTTTTAATTTGTAAGGATCATCAAATAATAAAAGCTGATTACTTCCTCTAGGTGGAGTTTGAATTTAGATTCAATTTCAGATAGCAATCTGTAAAGCCTTTGTAAAATTGCACACCAGGTGTGAGAAATAATGGTCATTAGCTTTTAAAACCATCATGTAATCTGCTCCCCATGTGGCTACTGGTTGTAAAAAAGGGGTAAAGAGATAAGGTTCAAACGTTGTCATTAATAGATAAACTATTTACAATTAATGAATGTTGAAAATGTTAGAAAGGTGATAATTTTGACAACTGCTGGACTAATTTTTGATATTAGTGCGATTTTATTTTATTTAATTATCCAGTTGAAATTTGAAGAATTATTAATGTAGTGCTTAAGCATTACTAAAAAGATTAATGTGTTGTGGGAAGTTGATAAAGGCTCAAAAAAGAAAGACATTGTAGCAAAGTTTAGAATTCTGAATAGTTTACCAACCATACTAACAAATTGCAAATCAGTTTTGAAATTAGCCAATAATGTAAGACCTACAGGAAAACAAGCTAGAACCAGCATTTATGTCAATGTAGATGAAGTAATTTTAATGCTCATAGTAAAAGTGTGAAGAAAATTTCAAAAAAAAAAAAATTTTAATTGTTCTGTGCAATAAAAACTTAATTTTTCTTTTTTACAAAAATGTAGTTAAATGAAGTTTTAAATATTTTAACACAGGAATGTAAACTTATTTGAAATTAAAATTATGTTTATATTACATTTATAATAATTTAAATTAGGTAAAATAATGAAAAAATAACATTAAAATAATACTTTATTTACCAAAAAGTGTAATTTCTGTATAATGAAATTTCTATGTAGCAAATTTTTTTCAGGATTTAGTAACTTCATTATATAGAAGTTTGACTGGATTTATTACCCATAAGTAGTATGGCAAAATAATTTTAGTAAGTGAATAATGTTGGTCTAAAAAATTTTCTGAAGATTTGAAAACTGTAAACTTAAGATAATGAAACTGGCTGGATGGACAAAATGTTTAAGGCAAGAATCTGTTGTTCTGAAGAACTTGGGATTTGAATCTAAGTTGGATTCTTAAGTTTTGATATATGGTCTAGCCCAGATAAAAGTCAGACCCTATTGTTTATCACCTGATCCCTCCAGTTTAGAGCAGTCAAGCAGCGAGTAATAATAAAAAAATTACTCAATGTATTGATGCTGTCATAATTTCTAATCATTAAATTTTCCTCACAAAACTATTTTGTTGCAATAAAATTTATAAATTAATACCTGCCCAAATTTTTTCGGCATGATATATTTTATTAGATTAGGATTAAATAAATAAAAATTAATCCATCAGTAATAACAGTAGATCAGACAATTTTAACAAATTTTCTTATTTAATATAAAACAAAAGAACAAGATATTTAATTTTCAATGCTAATAAGATTTGTGAGAAACTATTTACAGTTACACACACTAATATAAGTAAGTTAACAGTTATTTACATAGTTATATCCTGACTTTGATCAGGAATAGCATTTTGCACGGGTTGATGTCAGATTCTCATTTAAATTATTTCTCTCTAATCTAATTAATAATTAATTTTTATTAAAGACAATGTTCACTGGGAAATTATCTGTATTGCAACAAATTGAATTGTGTATTATTTCATGTCAACAACATCCAGAATGAAACAATAGTAAATACTGTATTTTGGTTCAAGCATGTACTGTACTTTATAGTTCTGATTTGTTTCATTGTATACTTTTTACAGAACATTTATTGCTATTCAAGTTTGTCAAAATAATTTTTTTTTTCAAAAATTTGTAGGATCAACTGTTATGTTGAATGCTATTTCATTTTAGTTTTTTACATCTTTTCCCTGTTTCTGCATTGTTGTTTTTATAATATTCTCTTAGAAAGCGTAGGTTTTGATATAATTTTTGCTTCAGACACATTAGGAAAGAAGTTAAACTAGTCATCATCATGCAATATAAATATTCTGTTATTTTGAATTTAAGATCTACTTCCTTTCACATGTTTCCAAACTTAAAATCTGAGTGCTTCTTAAACTTGATATATTCTTTATCAATACAATAATAAATATATGTTAGAAGACTTTACGAAGTTTGTGGCATCCGTTATCCATGCGACAGTCCGAATACAGATACCACGAAAAGCGTCATCATTTTGAATGGAAACCCGAAATGACCTGAGAAAATTATTGTGCCCATTGTGGGTTTTCCCAGGTCCCTTATCGTGGACCTGGACAAACTCACAATGGGCACTAGATAAGGCCTCTCTTGTGTCCACAAAAAAAAAAGAGTAGAAAATCCGAAAAACAAAATACGCATAAGAATTTTAAATATCGAGACATTGTTTTCTTCTACTCGAGAAATCTTAATTACACTGGTGAGACATATGATTAGGATGACATATTCTCAGTCGTCTAATTCTTAATCTTCGACAAGATCTGGATTCCAGGTTTACCGTAGAAGATTTCCAAGAAAGTCCTTCATAATGAACGTGCAATTCTGATATGTAACATACAAGTGGAGAGGAACTTAATGGATAGACCGTATCCAGAAAATTGGAGACGTCTTGCGATTCTGTTAAAGAAATTAGAAGGCACAAAGATCGTTGGAAGAGCCACATCCCGGCATCGCTTTTCCCTCGAGTCGCCAAAAACAATAACTGTAGGTCCTAAAAATGAACAAACGAAGGTAAAATGTGTAAAAATTTATAAATCACCTCTCCCAATGACGTATCCAATCTAATATCGCCTTCGAATAAATTCACATTTTCCATAGAACTCTTATACAAAGCATAATTGACGGTTTCATTATTTGCTGAAACAGTTCTTTGATAGGAAAGGAATNCTTTATTGTGATATAACGTGTTACATGCTCTGTGTTTCTATCTCAACTACTGAAGAGAAACTATTGGGAAATACAAATTGAAAAGCATTTAGCATAAGTAAATCTTTTCTTTTATAAATAAAAAAGGACTGTTAAAAGATTAAAGTGATTTTATCATTTAAAGTACCTTCCTTTTTGAAAGCTTTTAAAATTACATATATATTTTTAAATAAAAAGCTTATATTTATTATAAGTACTTATAAATGAATAAACAAATACCCATTTCTCTTGCAACTTTTAATTTTGTTTGAGCTTGTCGGAACAGACGAAGATGAGATGCAAAGTCATCAACCAATCTTGTTGTAAGATATGGAACCCATTCAACTTCTTTTGACCTAAATATTTACATAAAGCACAATGTTAAAAGTAATTATTACCTAATTATACATATTATTATTATTTATGTTATATTAATATACAGTCAAATGTCCATATTACAAACTTCTATACAGTGAGTGATTGGTTAACATAATACAATACTTAGAATGAACATAATCTGTTCCAAGACTTTGTTTGCTATCTGAATTGTTCGTTAACCGATTATCGATTTACCACAGGTTTTTATGGAAATTTGATTAATTCGTTCAGGAAACTCCAAAAAATAAAAAAAATACAGTTGACCCCCCTATAACATGGTAGCTATGTTCCTGTTTTTATGAATCCAGCTTCTAGGAGTCCAGCCAATCACAGCCTGGCACATATGCAGTTTACAGACTATGGCTGTTTGAAAGGTTTCTTCCATAAAATTAATCGATTCTAGACTAATTCGACTCAACATTTCCAAAATATGTAAATTTTTTGGGAATAATCCATATAAACTATGCTATAAACAAAAAATTATAGGATTACTTACCAAGTGTGCACTGTTCGACTACACCGTTGCTTAAGCTTGTTTTCGTCTTGGAGATTGTCATCGAATGGCGCTCGCGTGCTTCCTGATAATTTTTTTTGCAAAAAATTTGCTGAACTTTAGAGACATCATTAATATAAATATAATTTTTATGGACATTAAATAATAAATGGTTTTTGGTAGGTCCGCTGCTCGTTTAAACTCAACGGTTTGTGCAATCCTGTTGCGACACGAGTTGGCGATGATGTTTTACTGAATTATAGGAGTTTTTTTCAGCATGTTTGTATGAATACTGTTGCAATTTTTTCGCCATGATATAGGAATACGAACTATAGGAACCCGTGTTATAGGGGGTCGACTGTATATACTTTCTCACTATGTAATAATAAAAATACATATATACACAGTCTTGCATTTTTATTAGTCAACCTTTTGTGGGGGTTAAAGAATATGTTCAATGTCAATTGCTTTCTCTGTTCTTCAGGATTTTTCAAAGTTAATTAATAGCATTGTAATTGTAGAGATCCCCAAGCCTATTAACATGTTGACTGCCAACTAGAGACAACTCATAGTTTGCATTATTGCCTAGGATGCCACCTATGAGTTATCTTGTAGTTTTTTTATTTGCCATATTTGCTTACATAAACAGAACATTTATTAATAAATGAACAGAAAATTTAATCATAAAAAGTTTATTCAAAATCAAAAAAATATTTTTATTGTTTGTGATAATTTTTAAAACAATCTTCCACACAAAGGGCATCTCTGGACAGATTGGACAGAAATAACATGTTTCTTGGCATTTTTTAGCTTTGGTACAAATTCAACATGGCTTTGTCGGATGCTGGTTTTTTCAGTAGGTGGGATACTCTGTAAATAATGAAGCTCTTGCAATGTAATTTTTTTTGAAACTGGTTGAATCTCTTCTCCAATCAACATGTTGATGAATGCTTCTCTAAACTTTATAAGTTTTATTTTAGAAGAAGTTGCTTTTTGAAAAAGTTTATGTGCATTGTGTATATGTATCTCTATAATATGTAATCTAACCTTTTTGGGCCATCTAATAGTCTTTCTTAAAGCTGTGTAGTATGATAGCATTTTATCTGATCGGTAAATGCCAGACATTCCTTGATTGTAATCTCAAATTATATTCGGTTTCATCGAACGTTTTCCATTGTGATTGAACAACTCTACTATTTCAACAATGTGCATGTTTGAAATGGTAAGGGCTTCTCATTTGTCTTTCCATTTACATATAGTAACAGGACCATTTCGCTGCTAAATAAACTCCCCCCTTTTAAGTTTTTAATTTACCACTTCTCTGGGATTCCCCTTTCTGTTATTTCGTAGAGTTCCACACAAACAAGTTTATTGTGTAGTCAGTAATTTTGTAAAAGCAACAGAATTATAAAAATTATCCATGTATACTGTATATCCCTTATCAAGATAGTCCTCAAGTAAGTGTAAGACAACATCAGTAGTGTGACCTAAATTACTGTCAATTCCCTCAGATTTTCCACTGTAAATTGTTATTTTCATAACAATACCATTGGATTCACATAGTTCATACAGTTTGACATTGTACTTGTATTTTGTATTTTTTATGTACTGGCAAAAATGCAATCTTCCATGCCACAACATCATTGATTCATCGATAAACATATTTTTATGTGGCACATAGTTTTGGCGCATAATGATATTAAAATGATTTAGTATTGGTCATACCTTATGTAATCTGTTGGAAGATGGTATTGAGCTATCAACTAGGTGAAAATAATGCAGTGACAATTGGAATTTATTTTGACTATACATGATTGCCAAAACATGTTATACAGTTTGTCTTACTCCAGTAATGTTCTATTGAAAGAAAAGAACAAAGGCCCATTTGTAATACAAGTACAATAAAAACTTTCATTTCTGCAGCACTGATGTCTTTCCACTGTGATACCCTTTTAGATTTTTTTATTTCTTTGTTTTGCAATTTCTTGCACAGCATACAAATTTGTTTGTTCGAGCACTAATGAAAGAAATTCTTCTGAAAAAAAATAAGTCCACCAGCGTTTGCACTAAGATTTATCGTATCCAATTTCAAACCAATATTTTCTTGGAAAATAAATAGTTCAGGATTTTTGTTGATTTTCTGCCCACAAATTATTGTTTGGATTTGATGTGGTTGCTTGAGAAGTATCATGATTCGCTTCAGGTTTGGAGATGACTTTTTCATCACTGTCTTCACTTGAATCCTCAGAAGGTACATAATCGCTACTGTCATCCTCGCCAAAAATCTCATCAGATTCTGAATCACTTAGATTAGTATAGTAATCAAGTTGTTTTCCAGTCAGTGGTCTTTTCTTATCCATATTGGGGTATTTATAATTTGATTATAAAAAATAATTATAAAACAACACACTCAAGAAAGACGTAAATGTGATGTGCTCAACTCTATATCTGATTTATTACTAATGAATTTAGATGCATATCTCTGACTCGGCTGTAGTGAAGTGACAGGTTGAATCGTGTCTGTGCATGAATAAACTTGTAGTTTGGCTTTAGTGAAAAGTTTTCTGTTATATAAGCCAACTACGATATAATTCATAAGATTTTTTTTTTTTAAAAAAAACATATTCTATATGCTTTTTGACAATTACTATGTACTGTACTATAATTAGAATTTTTAATAATATAATATAATTAAATTAAGTTGGCTTTTTACACTGGAATCCTGAAAAGTACTGTGGCAGTGAATGTGTTAACCTCAACCTGGTTTGGAAGCCATTCTAAGACCGTTGTTCTGACATCCTCCCACTTCTTCAAAAAATCTTAATAGCAGATATTGGCATTAATCCTCTTTTTCAGAAGAAAACATATTGCGCCAAGTTTCTTGGTATTTTTCATTCGGGAATTCTTGGCATTCTTCTGTCGTCAGATCCCTTTGAGGTTCCATCATGAACTCTTCAATGTTCTTTATTTCTCAGATGTGATTTTTGTTACTCCTTTAGCTGCTTGAGTCTTGATTATACTGAATCTTTCTTAGATAAGATTGAATTGCATCCTAATGTAGATCTGTTCAAGCCATACTGCCCAGCAACATCAATCATCATCTATCCACTCTCTACCATTGCTATGTATATTCTCACCTTTTGAAAATAAAAACTGATGCAAAACTTAATGAGTCCCCGCCCGACAGTCTTGCGAATACTATAAAAAAATTATTTCTGTTAGAAAAATAAAAGGCTGAAATTACAAAGGAGAGTTTCAAAGTTTGGAGGAATACTATCTGATCAGTATATAGTGGGTTGAGCGTCGATGTCCACGTCTCCCATGATCCAAAAAGTTTCAAGTTGTTGCCTGAGACAAGGGAATTTTTTATGTCACTTTTTCTTGTGTTTGTTGTCTGAACATAAAAATCTTTTGCAAAAGTTTTATTATCTGATCACCCACTGTATAGCAAATTTTTATATTGTACACTGCTCTTTCAGCAAAAAAATATATGTAAAATTGCTTCTAAATAATAAAGTTAAATGTCTATATAACAAATGTTTTTAATTTGTAAGGATCATCAAATAATAAAAGCTGATTACTTCCTCTAGGTGGAGTTTGAATTTAGATTCAATTTCAGATAGCAATCTGTAAAGCCTTTGTAAAATTGCACACCAGGTGTGAGAAATAATGGTCATTAGCTTTTAAAACCATCATGTAATCTGCTCCCCATGTGGCTACTGGTTGTAAAAAAGGGGTAAAGAGATAAGGTTCAAACGTTGTCATTAATAGATAAACTATTTACAATTAATGAATGTTGAAAATGTTAGAAAGGTGATAATTTTGACAACTGCTGGACTAATTTTTGATATTAGTGCGATTTTATTTTATTTAATTATCCAGTTGAAATTTGAAGAATTATTAATGTAGTGCTTAAGCATTACTAAAAAGATTAATGTGTTGTGGGAAGTTGATAAAGGCTCAAAAAAGAAAGACATTGTAGCAAAGTTTAGAATTCTGAATAGTTTACCAACCATACTAACAAATTGCAAATCAGTTTTGAAATTAGCCAATAATGTAAGACCTACAGGAAAACAAGCTAGAACCAGCATTTATGTCAATGTAGATGAAGTAATTTTAATGCTCATAGTAAAAGTGTGAAGAAAATTACAAAAAAAAAAAATTTTAATTGTTCTGTGCAATAAAAACTTAATTTTTCTTTTTTACAAAAATGTAGTGTATTTTAACACACATTATANAAATGTAGTTAAATGAAGTTTTAAATATTTTAACACAGGAATGTAAACTTATTTGAAATTAAAATTATGTTTATATTACATTTATAATAATTTAAATTAGGTAAAATAATGAAAAAATAACATTAAAATAATACTTTATTTACCAAAAAGTGTAATTTCTGTATAATGAAATTTCTATGTAGCAAATTTTTTTCAGGATTTAGTAACTTCATTATATAGAAGTTTGACTGGATTTATTACCCATAAGTAGTATGGCAAAATAATTTTAGTAAGTGAATAATGTTGGTCTAAAAAATTTTCTGAAGATTTGAAAACTGTAAACTTAAGATAATGAAACTGGCTGGATGGACAAAATGTTTAAGGCAAGAATCTGTTGTTCTGAAGAACTTGGGATTTGAATCTAAGTTGGATTCTTAAGTTTTGATATATGGTCTAGCCCAGATAAAAGTCAGACCCTATTGTTTATCACCTGATCCCTCCAGTTTAGAGCAGTCAAGCAGCGAGTAATAATAAAAAAATTACTCAATGTATTGATGCTGTCATAATTTCTAATCATTAAATTTTCCTCACAAAACTATTTTGTTGCAATAAAATTTATAAATTAATACCTGCCCAAATTTTTTCGGCATGATATATTTTATTAGATTAGGATTAAATAAATAAAAATTAATCCATCAGTAATAACAGTAGATCAGACAATTTTAACAAATTTTCTTATTTAATATAAAACAAAAGAACAAGATATTTAATTTTCAATGCTAATAAGATTTGTGAGAAACTATTTACAGTTACACACACTAATATAAGTAAGTTAACAGTTATTTACATAGTTATATCCTGACTTTGATCAGGAATAGCATTTTGCACGGGTTGATGTCAGATTCTCATTTAAATTATTTCTCTCTAATCTAATTAATAATTAATTTTTATTAAAGACAATGTTCACTGGGAAATTATCTGTATTGCAACAAATTGAATTGTGTATTATTTCATGTCAACAACATCCAGAATGAAACAATAGTAAATACTGTATTTTGGTTCAAGCATGTACTGTACTTTATAGTTCTGATTTGTTTCATTGTATACTTTTTACAGAACATTTATTGCTATTCAAGTTTGTCAAAATAATTTTTTTTTTCAAAAATTTGTAGGATCAACTGTTATGTTGAATGCTATTTCATTTTAGTTTTTTACATCTTTTCCCTGTTTCTGCATTGTTGTTTTTATAATATTCTCTTAGAAAGCGTAGGTTTTGATATAATTTTTGCTTCAGACACATTAGGAAAGAAGTTAAACTAGTCATCATCATGCAATATAAATATTCTGTTATTTTGAATTTAAGATCTACTTCCTTTCACATGTTTCCAAACTTAAAATCTGAGTGCTTCTTAAACTTGATATATTCTTTATCAATACAATAATAAATATAATGAAAATTTCATATTTCCTGTTTGTTTTATGTCTTTTGTATATTAATATATTTAAAATAAAGTATAGTTAAGAGCTTTTTAATGAATTCTTTTAAACCATACTTACTTCTAATTATCATCCAATTTTTATACTGAAAATCTACTTAAAGTGATGATTATCTAAAATATGAAAAAATATGGTATGTATGTTGTAAGGATTAAGCCTAACATCCCTCAGAAAACAAACAATTAATGTGTTTGCTTGACTTATCCAATTTGTCTGGGAGGAAATGGCAGGACCCATATCACATGACCAGATTAAATCCTATATATTCGTGACCACTTGAGAAAAAGTGCAGAGACAAACTCAAACTTGGACAATCCAGCATTACGAGGGCTGTTCGGAAAGTTCGCGGCCTCACATAAAAAAACAAACAAAATAATGTTAAAACTTTTTTTATTTTTCAATGTAATCTCCTCTGTTAGCAATGCACTTATTCCAGCGATGTTCTAGCTTTTTTATGCCATCACAATAGGTCGATTTGTCAAGGTGTGCAAAATACTCGTTCACTTCAGAGATGACTTTGTCATTTGAGTGGAATTTTTTTCCAGCCAAGAATTTTTTTAGGTTTGGAAAAAGGTGGAAGTCACTGGGGGCCAAATCAGGTGAGTATGGTGGATGTGGAACTGATTGGAAGCAAAGTTCGTTTATCTTTTGTTCAGTGATTCTGGTGGAATGTGCAGGTGCATTATCGTGGTGGAACAGAACTTTTTTCTTCTTCAAGTGTGGCCTCTTTTCTTCAATTTCTTTCTTCAGTTTTTCCAAAAGTTCAAAGTAATAGACAGCATTAATGGTCTTTCCTCTTTCTAGGTAGTCAATAAAGATGATGCCTTTAGCATCCCAAAAAAACCGATGCCATCACTTTACCCACTGATGGAACTGTCTTTGCCTTCTTTGGTGGTGGCGAACTGTGGTGTTTCCATTGTTTCGACTGTTCTTTTGTTTCAAGAGTGTAGTAATGGATCCACGTTTCATCAGTAGTCACAAACCGATGCAAGAAATCCTGTGGGTTTTTCTGGTAGAAGTCCAAACACTCCTTTGACATCAAAGTGCGAACACATTTTTGCTTGGCGGTCAGCAGATGCGGCACCCACCTTGCTGAGACCTTCATCATACCCAAATCTTTGGTTAGGATGTGGTGCACTCGGTCAACAAAGATGCCTGTTGTCTCAGCTATCTCACATGTTTTCAAACGGCAATCTGCTAATACCAAATAGTGAACTTTGTTGATGTTTTCTTCAGTGACAGCAGTTGATGGCCGTCCGCTGCGAGGGTCATCTTCCACACTTTCTCTGCCAGATTTAAAAAGGGCTGTCCATTTTTCACAGTGGTGTACGAAGGAGCAGACTCTCCTAAAACATCATCCATGTCAGCTTTGATTTGAGATGGGGTCAACCCTTTTTTCATCAGGTGTTTTATGACCGCACGAGTCTCCGTCTTCTCCATTTTTGACAAAGCATGTGCGCACTGACTATCTGCTAAGCTGTCGTGGCAAAACTTTTTGACAAATCAAGCTGAAATTGGTATCGTATCTTTAGCAAAGATGTCTGAATTATTCCTGCCAAAAAATTAAATTGATCGCAGCACCGCATATAGGCAAGGCCGCAAACTTTCCGAACAGCCCTCGTAGAATACCACAACTCCACATGGCAAATATAAAGTCATGGCTAAGTAAGAAAACTTGTTACATGCAGTCAAATCTATGCATAGTTAGTTGTAAATAATTTTTTGTGTATGATTCCCTTTGTAATGCATCTCTCCATAAATTTTACTCTTCTTCTCAAGAATTAGAGGAAAGCAGGGAAATAAACTTTACTGCTTTTTACACACACACACACACACACACACACACTAAATAATCATTCAATTTACCTGCTAGCAAATGCAATTATTACTTTTTGAACCATTTCACGAACACTAATTAAATATTCTTCATTATCTGATATTTGGCTGTACCAAGTACAAATATAATCTCGAAAAGCATAGTGCAAAACCTGAATTGAAAAATAATCTTATATTAGTAATATATGTAATAAATAAGATATTAAAAATATAAATAAACCTTAAAGTAAAATAAATCTGTTGTCTATGATACAAAACGTATTATGTTTCTACTGAGAATGGAAAACTGATAAATTCATTTTAAATTAATTTACAATGTTTATTATAGTAAAATTAATATATACATGGGTCTCTGTTTCCAGATATACAAAAACCACTGAAGACAAAAAAAAAAAAAATGGTCTTCAATGCTTTACTGCCAAACATTTTCTTAGCACAAGTTCAACAGTATACCTGTGTCCTTGAAATTTCTCAAGCACGGGAAGTGCCTGACTTTGGAGACACTACCATATCTAGATGTTGAAAATGGAACTGACATGGGAGCATTTCCAAGCAATGATGTTTTATGACTTTAAATATGATTTGTTGGAGTACCAGTGCTTCCATTGTTTGCAAGCAGCATTTCCCGATTCTTGCTCATGAAGAATGCAAGTATTCTAATGGTTTGGAGAATTTAGGCTGCGACTATGAAGACGCGAGCGAGTGAATTTTCCAAGCAAGCAAGAATATGTGGTGAGAAGAGGCAAGACGAAATAAATATCAAAACCGGTCAGATATGTGCGAGAACCAGAAATTCGCTCCTGCTAGCATTATTTCTCGCTTTTCGTTTGTGCATGGTTTTCCTTTGCAAAAACTAAATCGCTCACAACCTCTTGCTTGCTCTAAATATGCATCTGCATAGTCGCACTCTTAGACACAGCAGAAACATCCTTAAAGATGAAGAGATAAGCAATTGATCTGCAAATGCTGTAAATCAGTAAAATATGGTTTGTATTGAGAAACTGCTTAGAGAAGACCCATGTATAACCAGTAAGGATATCAAGCACACCTTGGTTATTGGATCAGTGACAGTGGATGATATCTCACACAATCATCTTCACATCAGGATGATTGTGTCTCAGTGGGTGCCTCATTCTCTGACTGAACAGCAAAAAGAAACTTGTCTGGAATGGTGCCAATAAATGCTGAAAAAATTTCAACAGGAAAGCTCAAAACATGTGTAGAACATTGACACTGGTAATGAGATCTGGATTTACCAGTATGACTCCGAAATCAAGAGACAGTCTGCAGTTTGGGTCTTATCCGACATGTCAAAGTCAAATGTCCAAGAAGTGTGTGTCAAAAAACGATAGAGACATTCTTTGGAAGACAGGGTCAGTTGCCACCATAGCCTTTGAGGATAGAAAGAAAGTTAATAGTGAATGGTATGTCACCCATTTGTCTTCTTCAAGATATTTGTAAATGGCAGCCTAAAACAGACCTTTGCAGAATCTTGCTGCACCACAACAATGCATACAGTAATGAGAATGGTGGGCTACTTGAGCGACTGCCAAGTGCAGTTGGTCACCCATCCATCTTATAGTCCAGATTTAGTTCTCTGCAACTTCTTTGTTTCCCAAAGCCAAGGAAGTCCTCAAGGGATCTCATTTTAGGAGTCCAGAAGAGTTAATGTGTATAGAAACACAATGGCAGACATCTCAGAAGAAGACTATATTAGTGCTTCCAGAACTGGTTTTCCACATGCAACAGTGCATTGAGCATCAGGGAAAGTACTTTGAGATAATGTGAGAATGGATACAAAGTAACAAAAACACCGTTTTTTGTTACTTTGTATCTGGAAACTTTCAGCTTGACCTTTGTATTTTAACTTGTCTGAAGATTTAAAATGAAGTATTGATAACATTTTAAGATTTTTAAAGTAATATCATCACTTCATTTTGTTAATCATTTATTGGCAGAGAACCAGATCAAGCTATCACAGGCACTTTTAGTTTTATGTTAAATAAACATAAAACTAAAAATTCCTGTGAAATTTTTAAGCATTTCATTTTCAAATTTATATAATTTGAAAACACAAATGTTCAAGAAGTTTCAAACTTTTATTGCATTCTTTCATGTTTGTGTTTTGTGCTCTATTATCTGAAAAAGCCTTTCATGAATAAAGATGAAAGTACTTCAAAATTTAAATTATTAAAATATGTTAAAACATAATTAATAAAGTTATTATTACAAAATGTTTCCTTTTCAAAAATAGTCTTTTTTGAAAAATGATTATTAGAAAATATGTTAAAAAAGTACTTCAAAAATCATTAAAAAGAATTTATAAATTTTTTTATACGTAAATCAATTTCAAAAAGACATAAGATAAGTGTAAATATTAACCAAATTTTAAACATTTATGCATTTTTTTAAAAAGACATTTCAAATAATTGCCAAAATATGGCTATTATAGTAAAGTTGTTAGAATTAAATTTTATTAAAAAAAATCCATATTTTTGCCTGAACTTTGAAATTCAAGCATTTAACATTAATTTCTTACTTCTTGTAACTGCTCATCAATAATATTAGCACCAGTCAAACGTCGATCATGCTTTAGCTGTTTTTGAGGTTTTTCTATTTTTTTAATAACCTGAAATCATTTATATAATTAGTTATAGTTAAAAAAATCTTATCACTTAACAAAAAAAAACATTTAAGTTTACAATAATCTGATAAATTAAACTTTTTTAATTATTTTAGAACATTAATTAACTGTAGTTATCACTGATCTATGATTTCATAAACAGATTTGCTTGTTTTAATTTCAAATATGTATAAACTTTTAAAATATTACTTAAAATAAGAATAAAAATAGACTATTTTAATCTAATATACATTGTATTTGTGAGTGTAACAAATCAAAATAATATCTATCATCATAATCTAATTAGCACAAAAAAATTACACTAGTAGTAAAATAATACAATAAACATAACAAACTACTACTACTACAGCACCAGCTAGAAGAGAACTGTAAACAGAATTTATTTCTATGTAGAGAATTCTATGTGCATAAATAAATTAGAAAATTTTCTGATCTTAAAAGTGCTTAATTCTGATAAATAGGAAATATACAATCTGTTATCTTTATATAAAATGTTTTTTATGAGAACTCAAAATTTTATCAACAAAAGTCAGATAGATATGATAGATCAGCCTACTTCAATTATTACTATAGAAAAAATTAGTGGATATCAAAAACACAATGAAGAGTCAGAATTTCAAATTAAAATTTCATTTATGAGCTGGAATGCAATATTCAGTTTATAAAAAACAACTTTAAGCTATTGTTTGAAAGTGAAAACAGCAGCAAGAAAATATAAAGCTCAAAAAATTCAATATTAGCAAATACAAAATTCAAAGAAATGACATCTTAACCTAAAAGAAACATTGTTATAACTTAAATAGACATGTTTATTTTCAAGTTTTTAAAACAGTTAAAGAATCTAATTCTAATTTAAGATCTATTTTCAAAGTTAAACTCTGAAATAATAAATAACATCCAAAATTTTATATAATCTTTAATCCTACATTGTAAATAATTAATCTTCTAATTAACAGATATATTTTTAAAATAAGTTTCACAAAACCTTTTTACACATTTTCTAGCAGTTTCTTGAGAGAAGAAACATTTTTGACCATGTTTAATAGCCTTCTTCAGGTTCTATAGCATTGTCAACACCTGAATTTTTATTAACTGACAATGCTATAGAACCTGAAGAAGGCTATTAAACATGGCCAAAAACATTTGTTCTCTCAAGAAACTGCTAGAAAATGTGTAAAAAAGGTTTTGTGAAACTTATTTAAAGAAGTTCTAGCTTTTTGTGCATGGAATATTTTTAACATATAAAAAATTATTATTTTGGATGCCAAAATTTAAACATTAATTTGAATTATTTATTTTTTTGAAAAATATCTAAAGAAAGTAAAGCAAATGATAGATAAAAATATTCAGAGTAATAAATACACAGTGTGTTCACTTTAACAGTTGTCCAGTTGCAAAAGATATCTCTTCAGGATTGCACAAATACTGTACATACCTAGTGCATTAGTTCCATTGTAATGTTTACAGTAATATAAATTCATTCATTCAAAAAAGGGAACATATATAATCTGTATAGTTGTTCCAAGGCAATACATAATTTTTTCCATCTCTTCCAGATGCAAGGACAATAGAAGGGAATCATTTTAAGAAGATTTAGTATAATGTATGAATAATCTCTGATTGCAAAAGATAAAACCAATATTATATAAATTAACACAAAACAGTTAGCTTTATTTTGCTATCACATACTGAAAATACTCACCTTCAATGGCAATATAAACATGTAGACAGAGTGGTATTATGAGTGGCAAATAGTACATCTGGATCCTATTGCATAAATTGCTTGCAGTTGTTATAAGCTTGGTTATAAGTTACAAATTACAAGTAAAATATATTGAATAAAATGTTTTGTAAGAAGTTACAAGTCACTAATTGTGTGAGGATTGGACCTAATGAAATTTGGAGACAATTATTTTTTTCATTTTTTTCCCATCTTTTGAAAGTTTGTTAACTTAACTTACAAATGGGGAATGATCACATTTCCTTCCCCAGAAGACTCAGAGAATGTGTAAGTAAATGAAAAAATTTGTGATTAGTGAAAAAAGGTAACATGATTGGGGAGATAAATAGATTGAAACCAAGGACAAAGGGAAGTGAAAAGCGAGAGAAAAGATTTGGGTTTCAGAGAGTGTGGACGCCAAGAAAGGACGATGAGTTTCGAACCCAACCCACAGACGGCTTCAGGAGAATCTCTCCCAATCTAAGTTATGTCACTCCATACAAGCAACGTTAAAGGTACTGTACAATAACGAGTATTGTAAACGCTCTCTCGGCGCGTATAAGGATGATAGAATCTCGATGTTAGTTATGTTATGTAAGTTGTTATCTAATAAGTTTTTGTTTTATGGTTAAATGGTGTCCTTTACTTGTGTATCGCCAATGCCTTACTGATGACCCCTCTCTCTCCCTCCACTCAACCTGACAAGAAGAATCCCGACCCTTTGGGATAGTGAAAATAGACAAGCCATCCACTGACAAGTGGGCAGTTCACCAAACTGTTGCTGACAAAAAGAGGTACAACCTCATCATACCTCAGAGACTACCCACAATTGTAAGCAAATTTGGTCAAAATGTTCTTATAATTCTGGTGTCATCATTCTACAAGCCTCTCATTGGCAAGTACAGAAGCAAATATAACATGCAACACACAATACCCAGCAGGGCACATATCATAAATTTATGCTTTTAAGTTACCCTGCAAGAAAAATTGCAGATTGGTCAAATTTGGAGACTGTAATGGCCTGGAACAGGATTCTGTGAGTCGCTGATGCATGTCTGGCCTGATATGAGCTGATATACCATCCTGCTGAAAACTGCTGCAGTTGCTCCAGTAACAAGTCATCCATTTATCCACATCATGTGTAGGATACTAAGATAACAATAATTAGTCGGTACAATCAACGAATAAGGGTTGTTTCCTTATTCCAAAACTGCTCACTCCAAATGCTATGCCAAATGGTTAGTGTAAAATTTTCATGGTTGCATATTTTGCATGCTGCAGCCATGGTGCACATAATGAAAATTACTTTTGATAAGAAAAAAGTGCCTCAGTAGTCCTTAAAATGTGTTCAAGCAGTTGTAGTTCATCCTGGCAAAAATTTAATAACACATTGCACCAGTCAAGTTAATGTTTATCATCCCCCTGCATGTTATGCCAATTAGAGATAACTATTGAATGAGTAAATGTCATGGCACAAAAAATTTGATGTATTTGTGCTGGTTCATATATGCTTTTACGTGGATATACAAGTACATAAAAACTTCAATGTCATGAAGACAAGGATAATCTGGACTGTGATCCCTGACTGTGCTGCAGATTTACATTACTGTCATGCGTTAGTTTTAGTGCAGTTGAAAGTACTCATAAAGTCTATGTACTGCTTCTTATGCATTTCATCTCTTTTTCCCCATAAAGTATAATCATTTTAAAATAGTATTTGTGAATATAAGACATTATTACAGTACTCTGTGAATAAGTGGATTGATAGCTTTGAGTATGTATTGCCTCAAAGCTACTTTTATAAGGATATTGGCATCATGTGTTGCCACATGATTTATCACAATAGCATTTTTATTTGCATGTTTTGAAAATTTATGTATTGCCTCAAAGCTACTGCATAATTTACACATCTCCCTTTTTTGAATTTATTTATTTTATTGTAAATATCATAATGGAATTGATATACCATATATTATGCTTTTGTCCTCTTTGGACATTCTTGTGAACTAAAATTTGTTATATGAAGGGAAGAGAATCACAATTTCAAATTAAAATATCTTTAATGTAACTTAATCTTGTATGCCACTACATTTCAGCATTTTGGGCCAAAATCTCTCCTCAGCAGTCATTACATTTTCTAATTACAATTTTAAAAACTTGCACATTAATTTATAGAAAAAAGTTTTTAAAAGTATTTTTTAAAAGATTTATATTCACAACTTTATATTTTAACATACCTATATATATATTTTCTTTCAACATTTCTGGAATAGACTTTTGCAGAACAGACTTTTTAGAAGATGCACACATTAAAATGTACAACGAAAATGTTGAAAGAAATAATTGATTTGGCTTGTGAATGGCTCATATAATGCTACATTTTGAATTTTTTTAAAAGTTTAGGATCAAAGTACTTGATATACTTGTAACTTTTTATATTCATAATTAGTTTCCTTAATAATAAGGATCAATACCACTTAAAGACAAAATTTTATTGGCCATCAAAAAAAAATGCAGCAATTGCACCTTTAATTAGAAGGGCCTTTCTTTTATCTTCCAGTCAAGCTGCTATCGATACCGAACTTAATATCATTTGCTGTGCAGTAAATGAGGCGGGCTACAATAATGCCAAATTTATCTACATCTTAAATAAAGTAAAAAGATCGCTTTTTCCTGCTATTACACTGCATCTCCCGAAAGAATCCACAATAGTCCTTCCTGCAATACCATTTTGTGGTCACATCACTCTCTATATTTGCTGTATTTTTAGGCGACATGCGTTTTTTCTGCCAGTTTCCCCACGGCCAAATCTTAGGAGGTTGCTGTCCAATGACAGGGATGCTACTTCCATTCTTGAAAGATCGGGGGTTTATTCTATCCCATTAGAAAATATGTTGGGTGGTCGCACCCATTATATTGGCGCGACAACTGGAATGTTGTCTTGTCGTATTTCAGAGCATCAGTATTCTATCAGGGAAGGCAGGAATGAAACTGAGCTTGCTAGAATGGTATTACAACACCAACATACCCCATTGTGGGATGAGATGGCCATAATAAGACATTGCAATAACAGAAATATCGTATATATTTGGGAGGCCCTCCTTACCAACATATTAAATCCCTGCAACACCCCTGCACTTGATTTGCCCCCTTTGTGGATCAATTTGTATAACTATCTAAAACAACGTATCTAGCTCCACAATTTGGAGGCGCATAGCATATGCACATTATAACCGCGCGTGTTTTTATTTAAAAATTGTCTTATGTTCTACTGTTGCTTTCATTCCAAAACATTAATACGCTTGGAACAGTCAGTTATTTGTAATAAAAAAAAAAGGAATTTAACCGTTTTTAACGACCTGAGGAAGACGAAAATAATTATTGCCGAAAGTGCTTGTCGGTCTAGTGACATTTATTTGTAATTTTAAATTACAAATAAATGTCACCTGTATGATAAAAGCTTCTCCTATTAAATGGTCGGCGTGCTATCCACTTCTGTATTATAGATAACTTCCATAATTAATTCTGGACAACAGGTATCCTTTTTGAGATGCTAAATCAGAAAAAGCAATGGTACAAGGTGCACACCCAGCTGGTGTTCCTGCTTAGATGCAGGGGGCATGACGTAGTTCCAAAGTGTATTTCTGTCAACCGGAAAGGCCTTCCCTATATGTCTTCAAGGTGCCTTGTCATTAAATAAAAGCTACATCTACAATAATACATTTTACAATGTTTATTTGAATTTATATTTTAAAAGGGATTTTAGAAAAGAATGTATATTATTTTTTCATTTTTCTCCACTTTGTTTTATAGAGTTAATCAATTTGGCAAGTGAGTGGCACATATATAGGTNATTATATGAGCCATTCACAAGCCAAATCAATTATTTCTTTCAACATTTTCGTTGTACATGTGTGCATCTTCTAAAAAGTCTGTTCTGCAAAAGTCTATTCCAGAAATGTTGAAAGAAAATATATATATAGGTATGTTAAAATATAAAGTTGTGAATATAAATCTTTTAAAAAATACTTTTAAAAACTTTTCTATAAATTAATGTGCAAGTTTTTAAAATTGTAATTAGAAAATGTAATGACTGCTGAGGAGGGACTTTGGCCCAAAATGCTAAAATATAATGGCATACAGGATTAAGTTACATTAATGATATTTTAATTTGAAATTGTGTGATTCTCTTCCTAAGTAGAACAAGTCCTAGTTCACAAGAATGTCCAAAGAGGACAAAAGCATAATATAAGTAATTAAGGACAAGAAGCACATATCAAAATAATATACCATATGTACATACTTGCAATGCTAGAAAGATCTCTTGCACTTGGATAAATATTAAAATTCACAAGATTAAAACTTCCTAAGATATAAAAAGGATGTCAATCTAATCATAAGATTCTATCCTAATTTAAAAAATAACAGATACTCTTCACTGGCACTTTTAGGAACTGAAAAATGTTTATATTTGTTGTAAGATTTAATGCATTTACTCAAAATTAGTAAAATTTACTAGATTTTTTAAAAAACATATTTCATTTTGTTGTTAGATATTAATATTAGGCTTTTGTCAATCACTGTAGCAGTAGTTTGTATCAGTGTGGTGTTAAAATCTAAATCACATATCTTATATCTGGAAACAATTTATGAGCTTGTTAATGTCAATTATGACATTATTTAATCAAACTACTTCCTAAGCCAATATCATATAAGCAAAATGATATTGAGAGGTTTGATTTCATTCTTAATGTTTTGTGTAATGTTTGATTTAATATTAGTTTAAGTTTCCTTTTTTGACAGATCCTGCTAATATAAATTAATAAAAGGTATAAAACACCTTTCATCACATTAACTTCTGCCTAAGACAGAATATTCTGTTAAAAAATTTAATATTTAATAGTAATACTAAATAACTAATTTTTCAGCTTTCATAAGTTTCTGCTTCCTGCAAGTTGAATATATATATACATATGTATACTTAAAATATCTTTAATGTAACTTAATCTTGTATGNAGAATAATGATTAAATATAATTATTTAAATTTTTATGATAAACTATTAATGAAGTATTTTACTTGTTTAATTCCTTTAGCTGGCAATTCAAGTCTTGAATTAAGTAATACTTTCTGACATACTTGTGCTGTTTTCTTATGTGATAAAAATAAAACCATAAAAAATCTGAAAAAGAAAAATATATAATATTTCCATAGGGTTAAAAACAGGTATTAAGAAATAAGTTATTAACTTCAAATAAAAATCATAAATCTTTTTGCATTACATTTTCTAAATGATATAGAGAATACTTTCAGTTTCTAATTACAAAAGATGTATTCTACCATTTTTAAGCACACTGATAATAGAAGAAAAAATTAATAAAAAAAATATTTTGTGAAATAAAAATAATCATTTAGATTTATATTTTTTATTTGAATCAGATTAACAAATTTATTAAAACAAACTTAATAGCATCTCAAGATTATATTAATAAATTTAAATTATTTAACTATAAAGTTCAGAAAAACAATTTTAATTTCAAACCTGTAACTCTTGCATGCTGAAAATACATTACTGTTTATACTATTTAGTCATAAAGTTTAAAATTTCCAAGACAGTTATTTACATATGCTTTAGAATATAACAAATCAAATAAAATCCACAACTTGTAATATAGAGATCAGAAATTCTTTATCCACAAATCAGCAATACCTTACTTTTAATTAATTAAAACTAAGGTATTGCTGATAATGTCCAATTCATTTGTCAGTATAAAAATAATTACTTTAACTATTCATTATTATTTTCATCATCATCAATAGATGACAACATACTAATTAAGTGCTAAATTCAATTAATTATTAACTTATTCAACCAATGTTGTGAGAACACATTATTTAAATATAATTTTTCCAATGTACTGTTTATATTTTTTTTCTATTTTTCTAACATCTTAAAATATTTTGAAATATATGTTTTAGTGAATGAGATTGAGTGCTAAAACAATTTGGAGTACAGCTAAATTGTTTTAGCACTCAACCTAACACATTGCCACAAAATATGCTTGCACGATCTTCATAATGTTAAAGTTAGATGGAAACCTGAAATCACAACATTTATCAAATTTCTTCACAAATGTCCTAAAGCCATTCCTTTCGTCTCTGATTCAATGTCAACAAAAATTTGGTGTCCCAGTTGAGAAGTAATACTCCATATTATATTCTCTTGACTTAAATTGTTTCTTACTTACATCGTTACTTCTGTTTTACAATGTACCATGCTATCAAACAGCAGTGATACGGCAACAGTGCTTAGGTAAATGTGATCTTATTTGAAATTTCATAATGTGACAGAATTGTTATTATTGTGTTAAATGTAATTTAACATTAAATTAAATATGCAAGGTTAAAAACAGATGTAATTTCTCTGTTTTCATTGTTTTTGTTATTTTTTCATTAGACATATAAAGGAAGCACAATCTCTAAACAATTTAGGATTAGCTTCAAACAATTAAAATGTGATTTTATATCCAAACATATTAATTTTTCCAGAGATGTTTTAGGCTTTCATCTTGTTAGGTGTATTAAATACTTGGCTTGGATGTCACACCAACAGATAACTCAATCAAAAACTTCAGACTAGGAGGCATTAAAGAGAATTAAGAGAAATATCTTGCAAGCACTTTCAACATAAATATGTACGTCATCTTCAGGCAATTCAAAATTGAATAAGTGTTACGTTTATGTTGAAAGCGCTTGCAAGATTAAAATATTTCTCTTAATTCTCTTTAATGCCTCCTAGGCTTTCATCTCTGTGACTTCAATTTAGACTTTAATTAGGCTTTCATCATTTGTTAATTAATTATTAATTGGAAATAAATTATTGAATGCTTTAATAAACTTATTTCTCTTAGTAATGAAAAAGAATAATGTACTTTTGTAAAGTACTATATTATTTTTCCGCCCTCTGTAATGATTATCAACATGACTGTGCTGGAAATAGCCATTATCTAACGGGTACTTTATGCGAATTCGCGTTAATGTGCCAGGCCTGGACTTTAAGCGTGCACCGAATTAAATAATGACAAAGTTAGTCAATTACAATCCAATATTTAATAAATATTCTAGTAATAACTATATACAAAATTTAGTAAAAAATCAAATAACAATTTATTCAATGAAAATCAATAAGAATCAACCNGCGTGCACCGAATTAAATAATGACAAAGTTAGTCAATTACAATCCAATATTTAATAAATATTCTAGTAATAACTATATACAAAATTTAGTAAAAAATCAAATAACAATTTATTCAATGAAAATCAATAAGAATCAACCCGACAAAACTCAAATCAATTTATTTTCTAACTTAACTCTATTTCCCTTCGAATTCGACAAAATTCAAAGACTTAATTTATGTACAATAATTCTTATAAATTAAAGATCCTAATCGTCACCTCAATATACTAGGAACCTTTATTCTCAACTCTCAAGACTTTCTCTAATCTTCGATCCACAAATTGAATAACTTCAAAATCGCCTTGGAACTACTTTATCCTATCGGACACCTCTCTCTCATTTACTGCTACGAAGCTCACCACGCTCATTGCTAACAGAAGCTCACCTCTGTCATCTTCACTTGAGGTTCGGACTTTATACTGTGAGGTGATGTCACAATCCTAAGTGAGATCACTCCCTTCATTTACATACTTATTTGCTAACAAACTTTTTTCTGTTTGTCTGGCAGCCTATTTTCCGACAATACTCGCTAACCTTTTACATTATTCTTTTTGACAATTTTCAGGATGTTTTATTCTTTTAAGGTTTAGCAAGTTTCCTAAGTTGTGCTTGTGGGGTCTCCCTCCCTTTTCTCAGTGCAGACTTACTTTTCTCTGCTCAGGAGTGCAAGTGTGCGCGATTTTTAACTATAGCGCTTTTCTCTCATCGGTGAGTTGGTTTCTCTTCTATTTTTAAGTTTCTAAGGTGAATAGTGAGGAAACCTTCATCCTAACAAAACATAAGCCCCAAACAAAAATAGAATAACAGCAAAAATAAAAGTAACTAAAAATAATGCTCGGACTTGGTTCCTTACACTTTTGTTAACTTCTGGAATGTAACCCTATATTTTGCATTAGTCCTTTGTTTCATATAACACAGATTCACACAACACAACACTTTTTTGGAATGTAACCTGTATTGCAAACCATCTTTGATTGTTATGGGGAAAATCAATCAGCTAACATGCTGAAGATATCATTAATGAAAAAGGATCTACTACCATTTTGTATAGAATTCAAGTCTGACAAGTACAACTAGAAGATTCATTAATATTTCGGATCAGCCAGGTAAATGTAAAACATGTCACAGCCACTGATGCAATAATTAAGGAACTGGCAAGAATTTATGGCAATTCAATGGGTATCACTGACTTAGATACAATGGATGGTTGTCCCATTTTAAACAGCAATGTGGTTGTCCCATTTTAAACAGCAATTTTAAACAGCAAAGTTTCATCATGTTATGTGGAAAAGATGATGAAACATAACATGATGAAACTGCTAAACTAAATAAAGTTGTCGCAGCTCACAAATGAGTGAGCAACATTATTACTCTCAGTTATGAGCCTAAAGATATCTAAAATATGGATTAATGTGGACTTTTGCTGAATGTAACCAGACAAAATGATTTCTTCAGGATCTGTGAAATTATGCAAAAAAGCTAAGGACTTATTCATCCTTAGCTTTCTTATACCCTTTGCTCCCTTGTCTTCTGTACAAATTCTGTGTAAACAATCAAACATTAACTGTTATAGACAAAACTGTATGGTCCAGCTGATGATCCAGCATGATATCAATAGTTTGTGCTAAGCTGAATGAAGGTCTGAGAAACCTTCATTCAGCTTAGCACAAACTATCACGCAGATAAAATAGATGGATCTATTCTATGGCCTTCCTGATCACCAGACTTTATGTTTCTGGCTTTTTTGTGGTGTTATATTAAAGCTTCCATGAACACTAATATCCATAGCAACAATTTGGATAGCATGTTCAATAATGCATAGTATGAGATTTAATATTGATTGGCTATGCTGGAAACTACAAATGGTGCTTGCGTAGAGGTATTGAAGCCTGAATAAGAACTGTCTGTTTTATTGCTGGAAACTTTATCTTATGTTATCAACTTTTCTGTTATATTGTTTTAAATTGTTTGAAGGACTTTTCGATCATCCTGTATTTTACATAGAAAATCATTTTGTTCAAAGATTGTTTCCATTTAGACATGTTTCCATTTTGTAAATCATCTGTTTTAGGCAACTTTTATTGCATTTACTATTGATTAAAATATATCATGATATAAAAAATTCTTAGCCTAATTATATATTAGAAATAACACAATATGATTCATTTTATATTTAGATTAAAATTCTTTAATAATGTATATACAAATGCAAATTGCAAACAAATTAAAAATTCTATTGAGTCAGAGTGAATGTTTAAAATTGTTATATTAAAAAGATATAATTTTTGTCTCTGAATTTTTTATAATCAATTTAAAAAAATAACTCTTACCCAATTAAACTCACAAAAGTACATATCAGGAAGAGAATACATCGCTGAAAACTAAATGTGGACACAGATAAAATGACCACCAAACCTATCCATCCAACAATTTGTATAGACATCTAAAGTAAAAAATAATATATATAATTAAATTCTATCATCATACAATATAATATAAAAAAATAATACAGTATTCTCATTATCAATTATAGATATACGAGTATAGATAACATATCTATTATTGTCTATAATTAATATTTAAAATTCTTTAATTATACACTTTTAAAAAATTTACAAATAAAACATTTGCTACAGTGCCAAAAATGCCCTAGTGGTACAATGACATAGCTTTGGCACTAATTATTTTTTTTTCTTGTGAAAATGTTTTTCAAACATCCTGATATGCCATCATATCAGATTTGTTTGCATTTGTACTGCTAAACATTGAGATATTAACCTGAGAAGAAAGCCATCAGTAGTATAATATCATATTCCATGGTTGAAGAGTGGGGAGCAAATGTCATCCATTTCTGACATCAATAATTCTAAGGTACTCATAAACTAATCATAAAAACAATTGTATACATTAAATTTTATGTTGGTTCGAGAAGAAGATAAATGTTTTCAACCTATTAATACACCGGCATCAAGTCAATGCTAGAACTTTACATTATATTTTCAAATGTATATGGGTTCCATAATGAATGTTGATACAAAATTCAAACATTGGAACACTGTTAAAAATTCAAATGAGTGTTCCACATAAAATTAACAGATTATATTACAATCTCCAAACGTACGCCGTAAATCCATCGGGCTAGTTTTATGGCTAATTACTATATTAATTACATAACAAATTTGGTACTAGAGGTAAGCGTTAGGCGCCATCTCTTATTAATATTAATAATAAATAAATTAATTAATTTAAATAATTTAGAACCGCTGGGAGAAAAAATCGGCCCGGAGCGGGACTCGNCGGAGGTCCGGGTAGCGTAACTGGCAACGCATCTGCACGGTAAGCAGGAGTTGTGGGTTCGAGTCCCGCTCCGGGCCGATTTTTTCTCCCAGCGGTTCTAAATTATTTAAATTAATTAATTTATTTATAATTATTAATATTAATAAGAGATGGCGCCTAACGCTTACCTCTAGTACCAAATTCGTTATGTAATTAATATAGTAATTAGCCATAAAACTAGCCCGATGGATTTACGGCGTACGTTTGGAGATTAGCTATTACATCGGGTTTAGCGATGATTGTAGTTATATTACAATGTGCATTTTTATAAAAAATATCTAAAAGTAACTTGTTGTTTAGTATTATAAAAGATATAGAGAGTTGAAATGAAAGTTAATTTGGATATTTACATAATTGCTTGTTTGTGCTGCCTCTATCATGCTTATTAAGTTTTAACTTGTTTACGTGGGAATTATGTATTTGTATATTTAATATGTAAGTCTAGTTACAATTATATTTTAAATTTTATTATCTTTTTAGAAAAAACACATTAAAATGGAAGATAATACAGTGCATTTTCAACATCTCATGCTCTATTATTTCTGAAAAGGAAAAAATGAAACAAACTCAAAAGAAAATATGTGCTGTATATGTAGGGTTGCCATATGTCCCATACATACGGAACTGTCACTGTATTTCACTACTCAGTCCCATATTACTATTTGTCCAATTTTCTCCCTAAACTCTGCTAGTGCATGGCAATGCCCCGGAAATAGAACATACTATTGCATATTTACAAGTAAGAAACATTGATATTGGCAACACTGAGATACTATTCAACCAGTTTGTATATCTAAATCTATTTAGAGAAAAATAATATCAACCAACACTACCTTTAAATGGATTTGGCCCCATGTAAACATGTGACTAAATGTTAGTTTGCATATTGGGGGTGCATACAGTGATGCCAAATTTAGCTCCTTTTTACTCTTTTGGTGCCAAAAAATATTTTATACTGTTTTAATCTTCAACAGAAAAAAACAACTGAATGGGGTGCAATTTGAAAAAAATTGTAGACCTATAAATTCCATCTGTTTATCTGTCTGTCCTTTCTTAATCTCAAAGACTGTTAGCTAGATGAAAGCCAAAACCAGATATGGAAAGCTTAGAAGCAGGAGGCCCTGATTAACTACATACAAACTTCTGGTCTGGAGAGGAAGTCATGTGAATTCAATTCAAAAATTTTTCCCTGAATACATAGATGATAGGCATGATTGTTATTATCAGCAAAAGTATGATGTACAAAGACAAAACAGTACAGAATTGAGATGGAAAACATATGCTTTAAATTAAATAAATTAAAAATATGACTAAAAATTGCAGTCTGGCATTGTGACAATGTAATAATAAATAATTGCTTGTAAGGAATAGTAAGTTTAATTGCAAATATATTTATATTTAAGTAAAGTTATAAATATCTTGTGTGAACTAAAACATATTATAAATTTTTTATACTACAATACTTTATAAAACATTTGTCAAGATAAGCTGTTAGGTAGCAGAATGGATTAATTTTCCTATTAATCAATTCTAGTTGTTTTGGTATTAATACACTAAAATATAAAACACATTCAAACACATTCTTCAAATAAGGCTTTTCTAAAATAGGACCTACAAGTGGACAACTAAATAACATCCATTTAAAACATGTTATACTGATAGTTGTGTTGTTGTGCCTGATCAATGAGTTTGCCATGTGAAGATTTCCAGGATTTCTTCATGTGTCTAACATGCAAATAGAGACCAGTTCTCATAGAAAGTCCTCCTGAAAGATCCTCCTCAGCACATATCCCAAGTGTTGTTTGTTGCATTGATGAAATGGAAAATATTTTCCCAAAATACTGAATTTTCAGCTGCATTTTTAAAAAGTTGCAGACCTATATATTCCCACTATCATCCATGTCTGTTTGTCCTTGCTTAATCTTGAGAATGGTGTTAGATAGATGAAAGTCAAGATTAGATATGAAAAGTTAGGGCAGGAGATCCCAATTAACTATATATGAACTTTTGCTTTGCATCAAAAGACATGTGATTTCAATTCAAAAATTTTCCCTAGAACGGAGTTACGTAGATGACCAGCATGACTCTTATCAAGAAAAGTCAAAAATTTTCCCTAGAACAGAGTTAAATAGATGATCAGTATGACTCTGTTATCAAAAAAAGTATGATGTACAGGGGCATGACACTAATTTGAGGTGGAGAGCATATATTTTAAATTAAATAAATTTAAAATATATTTTAAAAATTACATTTATTTACAGCCTAATTTAAAAATTACAGCCCAGCATTGTGATGATGTCACAATAAATACTTTCTTTTAGCTTTGTTTTATATAAGCATTCTTATATATCACTTCATACTTCTAGAGCAGCAATTCCCAATTTGGGGTACTGTACTCCTGGGGGTATGTGATAGGTTGTTTAGGGGTACAGAAAAAAGTTAGTTATTATGACAGAAAAAATAATATATTATGTATCACAAATTAATAGTATTAAAAAATTATTAGGTAAAAAATGTTCCTTGCAGCAATCACAAACTTTATTATACATTTCAAAATGCAGAAATAGAAATAAAAACTTATACTGCCGATTTTACAATGCAACATATCAATAAATGTTGAGCAGTACACAGCAGATTGCAAATATGCTTTAAGTGCATTTTTACTTCATATGCAGTTTGAATTTTGAAACATCATTCAAAGTTAGTCATTCAAAGTACAGGGTACCACTGTATTATATTATGTATTATTAAATAACGAGGATGGTGGTTCAATAAATTAAGAACTATGGTATATAAACATTTATCAATTTACAATATAAAAAAAACTATTTGCAGCAATAACATTCCACATGTCTATGAACTATTATTATTGCCTACAATTAATTACATAGCATATAACATCATACAAAATAATAATGAATGAGCAATATTAAGTTAAAAATAAAACACATAGATATTATTATATTTTATTTTATTATTTTTAATTATAAAATCTAAACTTTTGCTATAGGCTACTATAAAATTTAAAAAATAGCTCAGAGACACAACACAGCATAGGATTTCACGCTACTGATTTTCTAAAAAAAATGTATATAATATATAAACAAATTTTTTTATTATATAAAAATATAATCATTACTATAGATCAATCATTTTGCAATATTAAAGATGTTTTCTCTCTAAAATCAAATGATTTTAGAGAGAAAACATTTTAGCAAAAGTTTAGATTTTATAATTAAAAATACTGTAAACAAAAATTTTACGAATTTGATGATTTGCACTTGGCGAATTACGATACTGTTTATGTACGTGTTGGAATGCATAACTTTTTTTGTTTCTACAACGTCTCACCCAGCACAGTGGCCATAAACTCTTAAATATATTTTGCGTCGTAATAAAAATATAACTTGACATACGTATTTATAAATAGTTTATTTTCAAATTACATCATTTCTATGACCAAGGGCGGCGTAAGGCATGGGCAACTTGGGCCACCGTCTATGCCTCGCAGTCCGAAGAGCCTCGCGCTTCGAAGGTTTATGCATTACTTAAAAGCCGTGAACGCGACAAAAAAATTTTACTTGTCATAAAACGATAAATAGTTTGTCAAATTTTTATTCATAAAAATGCAGTTTCAACTGCTTTTTATTTTATAAAATCCGTCTTCTTGCGCCACCAGAGGGCCTTTTAAACAATAGGTAGTCTGTTAGCGTTGGTCAGTAGTAGTCCAAATTCAATACGAACGTTTGTTTCTTGAAAATTTGATCACGATTTAAATACAGTATTTACTTTTAATATTACCGATATGTCATCGAAAAGAAAACGTGTTGTATTATCATTAAAAGACAAATTAAAGTATTTGTTTCGATTATCCGGATTTTTCCTTATCCGGACTACCTTCATCCCCAATTAGTCCGGATAATCGAGGTTCTACTGTACTTATTAATGATTCAGTAACAAACACTATTATTGATAATTGAAATAAATAATAAAGCAATAATAAGAAATAGGTTTTTAAAAATTATTAAGAAATACATTTTGTTTTGAATTTTTATAATTTAAACCAAAATATCTAAAAATGTTTATTTTAATGTATAAATTTATTGC